TGATAAATTATATATTTTTTTAAATCTATTAATTGTGCAGATAAGTTTTTTTATTCAAAGTGTTTTAAAATTTATTGAAGAATGTAAGAATAATTAAACTGTAAAATGTAAAACTTATTATTAATGCTCCATTTAATGGCCATCTATACTTCTTTCCGAAGTTTGTATTCACACTACACTAATGTAAGGCATTTATGCTTTGGTTTTGTATCCTAATTTTAATACGTGAACTGTGCAATGTCATTCAAAATCTTGATGTAGTGGAAAAAGCATACGTCTTCAAATCTCTTAAGAATATGTTGTAATCCTGTGACAGACATTTGTGGTATATTTATTACACTGGTGAAAATTTGTGTTGTTGCACAACACAAAAAGCATTAGTGAAAATGGTTCTTTCGACTATCAAATAAAAAAATTGCTTTTTGAGACATCTATTAAAAATTATGATTCAAACAGTAATAAACAGTCTGCAGGTAACAAAAGTGGAGCTTTTTCAATTGAAACTTAAACACTCCTAATACAAACTATCAATTAAGACCCACTTGAGAAATGGATGTAGAAGCCCATCTGATTTATCACAAGGTGTATACTTGCTTCAGTATGAGCAAACTGATTTTCTTCATCAAGCTTTGATCAACTCACACATGCCATGAGAAATTTCAAGAATGTTGGAATGCTAACGTCTCCTCCACAAGCTTGTTGTGACGCAGCTATGGAAGTTTATATATTCTGCAAGTATACATGAAATCCAGGCGAGTAGGTTCACGATGCAGCTGATAAATCTTGTCACCTAACAAATTCTATATCACATTCAGATCACCAGTTTCTGTAACAACGCTCAAGTATTGCGAGCTTCTTCAGGCGACGCTGTAATCATCAGCGTGTACAATTCTTGATGGTTCTGCAATCAGGATTCTGGTGCCTGAGGGTTGCATGCATTTAAGTCGACTACGGAGATATGCCTTGTATTCCTCACCGCTCTCGTGTTCTACCAATTCCCTGAAATTCAAACCCATTCTAAGGCTTGCGACAAAAACTCTTAGCACGTCTACGAAACAGTCGCAATGCGCCGAAGTGCGACGATTGTGAGTTCAATGCGGAGCGGTACGCTTCAATGCACTGTCACCTTTAGAATCCACCTTGGGGGTCAGTTTTGTTTCTGAAGATCCAACTGCGTCTAGCCACTTCGGCGGATTTTCGAAGCTCTCGGATAACGAAAACTCGTGTCTCAGTTTTCAGATAAAACTGTGCGTGTATATCTAGGTATCAGGCGAGTGAACTGTAGCAGTCCATCACAACTTGAAACGGTGGTGTTTGTGACCATGGCCTCGCTTTCACTGCAGAAAGTCGTGGTTCGGGACACATCGGTCATGTGTGCACAGTCGAACTTGTGCTTAGATAACCCAGCTAGGGCTAACGAGGTGTGGTGGGGCCAAGAGACTTGTGATCGCAGTTGGAATGCAGTGCATTGGAAAGACACCGAACACTGAGATGTGGAAAGAGTTGCCTAAAACGCATCCCATTGGACAGCTAGTTTCTGTCAGGTTTTTTAATTTTGTGTTGCGCTTGATGGATCCAAATGGGTGAAGGGGGTGTTTCGGTAGCGCTTTGTGGCTCAGTTGCAGGCAACCGAGGCGAGATTTATGTGTGACACCTCAATGCGTTCCGGATCAGGATTCTTGTCACCTAAATCAAAATTAACGTGAATTGTGTTCAGTCGAAGTGGACGCATGCTCTAGAAGACGCTATGTGGTGGATACTTACTTCTAAGAGTACTTTAGGATCTCGCAGATTACTGATCGTATGCATGTCACAATTGATGCGAGCTTCGGTTGCCTATTTTTATGTTCCGAGTTCGCGGAGTCACGTTTCATCTGATGTGGGAAGATCCCAAGTGGGTCAAGATTCCACCAAATCATCACTGAAGGATTGGGACGCTGGAAGCTATCCGTTCGAAGCTATACATTTTGTTGTATGTGGGTCCACGTGAAATCACTCCTTGACGAATCACATGTATCGTTTGAAGTAATGTTCTTGTTGTTGGTTATATATATATCTATATATATATATATATATAGAGAGAGAGAGAGAGAGAGAGAGAGAGATATACACACATGTGTGTGTGTGTAAAAAGATGAAGCAAACATATACTGGTTTGTGTGAAATTAGAGAATATTGCGTCGGCAAAAAAAATTGATCTCGCTGTTACGAAAACCATCAACAAGTAATACCGAATTCTTGTGCCCATTCATGTCATGTTTGGATACTTCAAGGGGAGTAATTGATGCTAGGGTGTTTTGTACATCAATGTAAAAAGCGTACTATATTGTCCATGTGAACAATCCGGCTGGTGATTCAACTTCACACCCACTTGAAGACAGTCACATAATTCCGAGGTAAATAGTTCCTGCCAACACCAATCAGTTAAAATATTGATGCCACTTGACGGGCGCTTGTGAATCACATTGCAACCACTGCAACAACGAGCCTAAGTTACAGGACTAGTGCGAATTCTACCAGGCTCAAAAAGTTGCCATCACAGTAGGTCAAATCGGATACCTTTAGCCTCAAAAGTAACCTCACCGACCTCGGCGAGAGATTGCTGCCCTCGCTGGTGACGCATATTCATGGCACTACACGGGTGAACATCAGGGTTGTCTATAAAAAGATTCTAGGATCTTTCTCATCACAATGATATGAAACAAAGGGCGAACATGATGCCAAAGTTAAGAATGTTCTCTCAACGGAAACGCCATGGTGGAATTTCTGCGGGGGTCGGTGGCCCCACATTAGAGAACACACCTAGAAGCCATGAACAAAAATAAGATAGACGGCACGTGGCAGTTCATACACCCTTACGTATTCCCATGCTACCTTGACTTATCTAGAGATTTCAAGCATGAATTTCCAAAAAAATGCGTTACCACCGTCTTTAAGCATCACCCGAACACCGAACGGTCTGATACCAGTTTGGCACATGCGGAAGAGCGTGAGGTGAGACCAGTCTTGTTGCGATACTGTACAATGAAACCTGAGTTCTGTGTGTCGAATGTAAAACAATAGAAACAAGTAATTAGGAGCATGAGAGGTATTTAACAACAGTGCCGGCTCAGATCCTGCTAACTGCGGTCTCGAGGCGAATGCCTGATGTCATCGAAATGTATCCTGCTGGCATCCCACTGCGTCATCGAGGTCAGGATTGCCAATACTGAGAAGCCACGCAAGTGTCGATCTGCGCAAGTGTCGAGAAATTGCGAGGTCGGCCTCGGCATCCAGCGGGGTGGCCGGTGGTGCAGTGACGAACCTCCACCGCTGCCGAAGAAACCAGCCTTTCCGTAACAGGGTTCTCGGTAATAAGATCCTCGTTGATGGGGGCCCTGGTTTATACGGAACCTTCCGTGACTTCGATGTCCTCTTGGTTCCCAAACTTGTATGACTGAAAATAAAACTTCCTATGCATTGCAAGAGTGTCATTGGATGATAGGAAAGTAAATATTTTCAATGTTATTAAATACATCAACGTGAATTTCATATGTATATATATATATATATATATAGATGTATGTGTGTGTGTGTGTGTGTATACGTACACAGACACACACACACACACACAAAAGGTAACACACAAGAATTATTCTTATGAGCATGTAATCTGCATGCAGAATAGAGAGGAAATCGCAAGGTTTGTTGTTAGAATTTAGATATTTAGCTCGATTTTTATGTCTTAAGAAAGAAAGAAGGAAAAAAAGAAAGAAAGAGGTTTAATATTATCAAATATAACATAAACTCAATATAAACTAAAATCAAACTAGTCATGCCAAATTCACATTCTTTCAGAAAAGTACTTACAAAGTTTGACATCTAAAATCATGTTTTACCAGACACAGCATTCAACAAAGTCAATTATTTAGCCTTTTAGGTCTACATTTAAAATCTAACTTACAACATCAACAACAACAAAGCAAACAAAAAAAAAAAAAAAAAAAAAAAAAACACACACACACACACACTCACACATAGACATAAAAGAAACACATCAGATTTTTTTGCACATATCTTCCTTCCATAATTGTTTTCATTATTACAAATATATATATATATATATATATATATATATAAATGCACACACACAAATCTTGACATCTTAGGCTCTCCGTACTTCAACAGCAAATGCTGCAACTTACACTCTCCGTACTTCAACAGCAAATGCTGCAACTTACACTCTCCGGCACAAAAGTAGCAACTTGCTGAAATTTAGGGTTCAATTCGTGACACACATCAAGCGAGAGGGAGCCCACAGGCCAAGTTATGGTATTACGGAGGGTGACATTACGGAGAGAAGCGTGTCCACACTACGGCATGCACAATCCTGCTTGATTTGTATTCTTTTAATGGATTTAATAAAACAAAAATATTCTGCCTAGCCCGTTGCCCTGGGCGGAGGGCGGGCAGCAGGATGGACAGAATCTCAGACTGAATGAAATCCTGCAGTGAAATCTCAGTCCTGGAGGGAGTTTCTGCCTGTACCGGGAGCCAGTGTTGGTCTGGGATTGAATGCAAGGTGTCAGTTTTGATGTGCTCCCAGCTAAACTTGGATGAATCACCGACATGCTTGGCCTCGTGCTACCGACTTGGAGCGGAGGCACTCACCTAATAGGTCACGAGGCCCTACAATGCTCCAACCCCCACCCCCAAGCTTGTTAATTGCCAGACGGGCGAATTTCAACACATGGAGAATTGGGGAAGAAGCAGGAACTTTTCATCAAATCTGTCTGGGATGTCTCAACGAGGCGCAGTGAATCTGGGCAAAGGTGCGTAAAAAGAAATTATGTTGAGCCATCCACTGTCGCCCGTCCGATTCCAGACGATGAGCCCAAAGTATCCGTCGCCTTTGCGTCCCCGATGACGTGAATTTCATGGGGTGAATTCTTTGGTCGAGCAGGCCACGTGCAAGGTGAGATTTCCATAAATAGACGGAGCTGGGCCCTCACCCAATTCACCAACTCTTTGTCTTCCTGCGTCCACGACGCACCGTTTAGAGACAGTGCTCTGCGCTCCTGAGTACTCCTGAAAAGGTTGTCTGTAATTCTGTTTCCGGTGCCCTCCTAGATCGAGCTTGCTAATCATAAGTCAAGTAGCTAGGGGTCTCACGAGAAGATGGGCACATACAAAAGGACCTATGAGCTTCTGGTCTGCTCACTCATCCATACGTCCAGGAGAACACCCAAACATTCTCCCTTGGAGCTCGTCTGCCTTTTCTCTACACATCCTTGACAACATATGCCTCGCACTAGATAGTATGCATAGCTCTCTCTCTCTCTCTCCCCAAGGCTCTTCGCGATTGAATCTATGTCTCACCTTGCTGCACATGAAAACTTTGTAATTTGCAGAATGATAAACGCATGGAATGTCGTCTGACGTTGAGTTAGCAGTTCAAGTAGGGATTGTTCGCGCGCAAGGACGTGCTGGAATGATATACGAAGTCGAACTGGCAGCCACTACGCCCACCGTTCTCCGAGGTTCTTTTGCAGTGATGCATGTAGTCAAAGACAAATGTGGATGGAAACCATCGCATTGATTGATCTAAGCATGCATTCCAGGACCCTGCTCCATCACTTGTGAGGTTTATTAATTAGTCCAATCTGCATTTTGAATGCACGAATGTGTGGAGAGCAATCCATCGAGAAAAGCTGCGGAGACGGCCTCTTCTTTCTTCCAGCAAAGGTAGCTCTGAATTTTGCTTTATTTCAAATAAGCTGATGAGTTTTGTACCTCTTAGAATGTAATTGCATTTCAAAAATCGTACATAAAAGAAAATCCTTATGTTGTTTCAAACTTTCACCTGTAGACATTGAACAACGATCTATGCTGTCATAAGTCGTGATGGCAAGGAACACGCGGTTTGGATTCAATGTGCAGGTTCAATTCCCAAAGTGCTACGACAACCGACCTGGAGAATGAACAGGATGGAATTTTCATGTATGTGGACAATCTTCGGATGTTTGGCTTTCGTGCGTAGCTTACTACCGGTTGAGATTGTCGAGGCGCTCACCAGATGGCTCCGAAAGCTTAACTCCCATTTAGTACCTTACGTTGTATTTGAGATTCCAGAATTTGAAGGTTCTAGTATAAATGAGCTGTACAAGAACGTGCAATTGCACTTGACTGCAAAGAATTTGTGTCGAAATGCTCGAAAAACAGTATTGTGCAGGGTTAAAAACTCCACAAACACAACCTCCACTCTAGCAGGTTGTGTTTTCGACCCAATTTGTCTTCAATTTCTGCCTTGATGCATCGTGTTGTGTTGTGGGCGTATCGGTGCAAGATCAGGGATCTCTTCTAAGTCTCATCAAATCAGGACCCACTTGCGAAATACTTATCATATTCAGCTTTACGCATCATTGCAGGAGGCGAAGGAGTGATGGAAACCTTCGAAGGCGCGAAAATCTGGTGGACGCATGCTGTGCACGGATTCAAAACAAGTGACGGCAGCAGTCAAGATCACCGGTCGTATACACTGAAGATCCACAAGCGAGACCGTGATAGGATAATCCCGGCATATCTTGACGAAATTCGTGAAAATGCTTACAATTTCATGTTTAAAAACAGGTACTGTCGATCTCGTGGCATTTCCAACACGACTTGCTTCCAAAACGCCAATGCTGGATTTGCAATGGAGCCAAAATTGATGCCCTGGATCCCCACCTTCAAATTGCATGTAGTTAACCCGTAAATCTTTGCAAATGCAGAGAAATGCTTCTCTACTCGAATAGCAAGTCGGCGTCCTCCATGAGCAGGCACCTCTGGCAGGCTATACACTTCAAGCACCCGTCGACCTTCGACACGCTGGCTGTAGAACCTTCGCAACTGCAAACCATAAAGACAGACCTTGACGCGTTCATCGCCGGGAAGGAATATTTTCGAAGAGTGGGTCGGCCATGGAAGCGCGGCTACTTGTTGTATGGACCTGCTGGATCGGGAAAATCCAGTATGATAGCCGCCATAGCCAACTACCTCAAGTGGGACGTCTACGACTTGGAACTCACTCAGGTATTGAGCATCTCCCACTGCATCAACACTAAAATTCTCCTGGAACTTCTTTGTACAAATGACTAACCTCGTCCATTTGCGGACGAAATTTTCGAGACAGGTGCGCAGCAATTCAGAGCTAAAGCAGCTGCTCATTCAAACAACAAACAAATCTGTTATTGTAATCGAAGATATCGACTGCTCTGTCTGCTTCGCTCACCCGCGTTCACGGCAACCAACGTCATCCTCCAGTGAATTGTCATTCTCGGAATCTTCGGAACAGGGGAAGCTGGAGGATGACGGCGGCCGCATCACACTGTCAGGCCTTCTCAACTTCACCGACGGTCTCTGGTCATGCTGTGGCAACGAACGCATCTTGATCTTCACAACCAACCACGTCGACAAACTGGATGCTGCTCTGCTTCGCCCAGGCCGCATGGACCTCCACATCCACATGTCGTATTGTACATACTCTGCGTTCAAGACTTTGTCGCTCAATTACTTGACACTGGAGAACCACCACCTATTCCCCAAGGTGGAGAAGCTGATCCGAAACGGAGCTAAGATCACTCCTGCGCAAGTGAGCGAGATTTTGATTCAAAATAGAGACAACTCCGATGACGCCATGGAGAATCTAGTCTCCTTTCTTGAGCATCGTGCCTGGAGTAGTTGTAAAATTCATCCTAATGCCTAATGACGCGAATTATCCCTAACTCTGCCCGATGCTGTCTGGAGCGAGTTGTTCGCACAGTAAACCTTTTGGTCTGATCACAATAGATGCGCCTGAGAGCACTCTTTAAATGAGCACAGATTATGTAGAGTTTTCTTTATGTAGAAATGGGTATCTCACAAAGCATTAACACTTTGAATGAAGCTGAAAAACTTTCACTTCGATACTGAGTTCTGTAATAAGCACCGCAATCATGGTGCAAAGAGTTCTGGTCAATGCGACAAAGTTCATGACCATTTAGCGTTGTCCTCGGTGCATCTATATTTCAATTGCATGCTGGAAGATGAAGTCGACCGAGAGTTGCTAGTGACATTTTTTGAGTGAAGATGAACAGTTGACTGTCCACGGCTGTTCATTACCTCGAACGCATGCTGAGGTATTTTCGATGCTCTGAGACTGACAGTTCCTTCTCAAGTTTGAGACAGGCGAGTGACCTCTGTGCATCGTCTCGTGTAGTCTTGCATTCTAAATTTGGGAGGATTTCAATCAAATTTTTGCTTCAGATCCTGAGTTTGAGATGGGCAGAATTCTAACAATATTGGGGTTGGTTCTCATGGAGTCTGCCAGCGACACCTTTTTTTCACATGCATCGAGCGGTCAATGCTGTAAATACAATTTAATCTCTCCATCTTGGGAACTCTTCTTTTAATAATGCGTCGTTATATTCCGGATGCGATGCTTGACGTGCGCAATCCAGTACATCTTCACAGATGCATCATCGTCAGCACTCCTGCCATGCAGCATCCTTTACACAGCTCACATTCCACAACAAAACATGTGTCGAACATGAAAGGAAAGAGTCTGCACGAACATGACCAACATCCAAATAAATAGTAATAATGTTTTACGCGACACTATTGTGCAACGTGCAACCCACAACACTAGGATTGCATGACGTCGAAGACCTTTTTTCATAGCATATTGCGATTTCATGCAGTTCAACATGACACAATATAGGTCAGACTCATTCTCAACGTCTTCATGATCTACATTACCATACGCCAACATTGGAATAAACGAATGACCACTTCCACAATTTCAGTGCAATAAGTTGACTAGGACTCGCACAAGAAGCTCCTGGAGGAACCATGACATTCTAAGATGAGCCTAATCAATTTGAATATAGCATAATGCCACAATAATGACGATTTCGAGAAACTGCCTCAAGCTTCACAAGAAGGAACTGAAAAACCTCTGCTCAGAGCACGCGGGTTGAACGAGCAGATGCAAGGTTTGACTCACCTGACTTCTAACCACGTATCAGACTCTCAAACACTCTGCAGGAACAGTAACGGCACACATACACACAGGGAATGAGAATGGTAGCATCCTCTCACCATCCCAGAAGATTCACGTCCACAGTCACACAAAGTTTTCCCTTCTGTCAGGTCCACACTCACAACCCCACAAGCAGAAATTCAAGGTTAGGTTTCCGTCACACCAAAGAAAGTCCAAGCTCTCGAACGTCAAGCCATGTCGCATCTCACCACTTGGGTGCAGCGTAAATTAGGGTAGCGTAAAACAAACGACCGGGTGCAAGATCATGGGGGTGTGACTCTTCAAAGGTTCGATGGCGGGCGAGGCAATCGCATGGCAGTAGCAGCATCAGTACTGGGTGCAAGTGCGTAGAACCCCCGCAGAGTCAGGGCGGCCGCGAACCACAACATCGTCCTCGTCGCACCACAACGACGAATCAGGGCGGCCGAGCGGTGTAGGCTCCACCGTTGCAAAGGGCAGGCAGGCGGGGCAGGGAGCAGCATCGCTACATTAGCGCCGCCGGGTTGACGAGGCCACACTCGGGGCCCGAGTGCGGTGCCGCCATAGGCCCAATTTGGAGGGATTCTCGACAACTCGGTCGCCTCTTCGGAATCGCTGCTCCTCGCTCACCATGGCCCCGGCGACGCTAGGGCTTTGTGTGTGCGCCCTATACCCGTGCCTCTCCCACTGCCGTGGCTTTTCCGTACCCGTGTTACTTTTTTTTATTTTTATTTTTTTGCCCAAACACCTAAAATTACAATAAATGATAAATAATAATAATCAATGGCACAGATGTGATCAGTTATTTTCAATGTCATTATTAGAAACTAAGAGAGGAAGTAATTTTTTATTTTTTGAAAACACAACTATAAACACAATCTTTTATCCAGTATAAAAATTTGAAATGCTAATTTTGATTATCATTAATTATTGGATAATTATATGAAGGTGAGAAATACGTTAGTATAATATTTTACAAATAAAATATGAAATGCTCCAAAAAAAAAATTAACTAAAATATGTTATAGATTTAGTATAAAATAAATAAACTAAATACATGTATCTTTAAAAACATGACAACTTTAATTAAAGTTGGATATTAATTATGGTTTTTTTAAGTATATAAAAAATTGATCTTGCAACATGTTAGATTGTTAAAGGTTAAAACATAAAAATCATGTGAGACTTAATTTGTCACTATCATGTGAGACCTTTTTTAAATGACAACATATTGGAAAGAAATAAAGTTCCACCACCTATTGTTCAAATAAATAACAAATAAGAATTTCAAGTGAAGGTAGTCACGAATTTGATGCTGTCCCAATACAAATCAAAATGTCTTGTAAATTTATACAAATTTGATCTTGTTAAATCTATATATATGTCATCCAATAATCTTACAAGTATATTAAAAGATAACAGCGTTATATATATATATATATATATATATATATTGAAAATATCTACCTAAATCAAAGGCAAATTATTATTTGGACTAACATAAACATAAACATGTATAAAATGAAAATAAAAAAATAAACATAAACAAATAAAATAATAGCATTCTTAAAAATAAAATAAAATAAACTAAAAATCTATGTGACCTTTCAAAATAGTTTGATATCACAAAATAAAATAATCAATAGCCAATAAGTTCATGTCAAAAATTATTCCCCATTGGATTTTAGATAGCATTATCTAAATAGTCACAATATTCAACATCAAAATTAAAACGGTTATTCTTTTTTTAAAACATAGGTTATTTTTACATAGGTGTTGAAATTTAATGTGGTTAATATCACAGCCTCGAATTTATATATATGGATATATATATATATATATATATATATTTTTAAGGTAAACGTACTAGTTACGAAGGTATCACAGTAAATAAATAAGCAATTTAGGTGCATTTAAAATATCAATAAAGAGATTATAAATATTTGTTTAAAGTATTTAGCAAGATTTATTAAAAATACCGTTTGACAAACACTGGAAATTATCAAGTTGTAAAACAATTTGAAAATTTCTTAATTCTTATCAAACCAATCATCTTGAGATACTGTCATAAACACCCATACTAATTCCATGACTAAGAAAGGATATATAATAATTTATGTATATCTATACACACATATCAAGAAACATCAAAGAAAATATTTTTAGGCTTGTTGAATTTATACATGTCAACACATCCACCATGTGAATAAGAAAATTTTGTGTTATCTACAACTATATATACATTGCAAAATATACTAAAATTTAAACATTTGGCATGTAAACCATATGGACCTTTAAAAAAAGCTCCAAAAGATCTTTCGTAATAAATATAATTTATGGAGGCAAGCTCCCAACTATTGTTAGTCTTGACAATGATTTTAAAATTAGAAGTTTTCTTCAAGACATAATAATTTTGGAATCTTAAAAATACAATTCTAATATCATTTTGTTATATATAAATAGAGAACTATTAGGTGCGCATCCTCTTTCTACTACTTGGACACCTCCTCATACCACACGCCTCTGCATATACATTGTAATATTTTTATTTCAATTAAAGAGTTTCTAGAATTAATTTACAAAAAAATAAAAATAATAAAATCATGCAATGTCATATGATGTTTTATTTTTTCAAGTATGCTTTTATAAAAAATTTAAAAAATGTGTAATTTTAAAATTACTTTATAAAGCTTATAAATTTATTTTGAAGTATAATTTTATTTTGTCTAAAAATAATAAAATAATATTTTTGTATACATGTAGAGGTATGTGTGGTATAGGGGTGGAAGAAGGAGGGTGTCTATGCAATAAAAAATGGGTGTCTATCTTACAATATCTTATATAAATTATTATTTTTTCTTGTTATTAATTATACATAATTACACCACATTTAATTTTTTTTTAAGAAAAAAAAAAAAAAAAAAAACAAAACAAAACAAAACATTGATAAAAAAAATGTACTGTAAAAATATATATACCAAAAAGACTTGTATATATAAAATAATTCATAACATATTTTGAATATATTCATAATGATTTAATAATAATAGTAAGTTTACTGTATCTTCTTGAGTAAATACATATTGTTTTAATTTTATACGATAATTATATATTTAAAAAAATCTAAATCTAAACATATATAAAAATTGACTAGCTTAAGTTTGGTCGGAGCATCAAAAAATCCCATTGGCTAGAGCAATAGATTGGTAAAACCTATTAAAAGGGATGAAACATGGGGGGCCACAATGGGACAAGACAAGCTGAGTTGGCTACAGCGGCGCAAATGAATCCAACCTACACCTACTTGATGTAGTGCTATTTTTTAATTCTTTATTTATTTTTTAATCATAGTAAGGGATATTGATTGGTTGTTGAAGAAAACCACAAAGGAGTACAAATCTTGTATTTCTCACATCGCTATCTTTATGTAATACACTTGTAATCTTTTTAAATTACATATATTAATTTTTTAAATATTGGTATAATTTCCGAATTTATATTTGATTTTTAATATTAATACTAATATAGAAATCACTTGAATTTATTTTAATATTATTGTAAGTCTAAGACTTCTTCAAATTAAATTTATTAATCTGTTTTAACAAAATGATTTAGATATTACTTCTAAGATGTTGATAATGTTACCACGATTTTTATTATTTTTACTATTATGTCCTACTTACTAAACATATTTTCTTTGTTTTTTTCAAACCAATAAAAATTTCTATTAATTTTTTTAATATGTAACTTTTTTTGTGCTTACAAAGAAAACTAAATTAATTTCAATGAGAAAATAATTGAAAGATTAATTGAAACAAATAATTTTGATGAATTTTCCTCAACTTAGATATAATTTTTATAAGTTGAATATTCCTCAACTCTGATATAATTTTGATTTCACGATTGAATATATGTTTTTTAAAACATAAATTAATTTTAAAAAATAATATAAGTATTATGTAGTGATGTTATTTATAGAATATTGTTCGTGCTACATCCTTGGTTAATATTGCTAAACTCCTCATGACCTCTTCATAGACAATTAAGTAATGATATACCTATTTTTTGCATATTTTTTTCTTTCTTTGCTTTAAAAATTGTTTGTGGTTGAAAGAAAGACAATAAAAAATTTATAAATAAAATATCCAAGTTTCTTTTTTAAAATAAAATATTGGCCTTAAAAACCATTTAATTTATTTTTTGTATTTATTTGGCTACCAATAATACAATTTTTTTTAATTATTCATATTTTTAGTTCAATATTTTAGGTTCAAAATTGAATTGCCAAATATAATAAACTTGTTTTTTAAAATATTTCTATTTTTAGGTCACATTGGAGATTAAACATTATGATGCCAAACATGCTCTAAGTAAAGGAGCATGCTTTTTATTCAATTTAAGTTGTGTGGAGGGTACATAAAATGTAGTAATATCAATTAGGGATGAAGTGCTAGCAATTCTCTTTTTATAATGTGAACCAAGTAAAAAAATTGTACTTTTGCAATAATTTATCAACTTATGACTTTTTAGAATAAAACTTGCACAATTTGAAATTAATCTTGTTACATCAGAAATAATACTATGTGTAGTTTTATCTTTTATAATTTCAAAATCTACTTACAAATTATTTTATAATTTCATATAGAAATAGAAAAATAATTACATGTTTTTTTTATAATAGTATTAAAGATATGATTATTTTAAAATTTAAATATTTTTTCTGTATAAAATATATATTTAAAAAATAATAATATCCTTAGTTTGATATATATAACTAAATATATATATATATATATATATACACACATGGTTATAATCTTTATTAAAGTATGACATGTGTCAAGTATTTGGTTTAAGATGTAATATGGTTATTCCCTTGTCGGCCATTATTTTTTGTGTGTTTGAGCATACAAATATGCAAGTATGTACTTAATGTTTTTGTTCTTCTTGATTGCATTGATATATTAATAAATTATAATTCATAGATACCTCAACTCAATTATGTCGATTTTTTTACAACCCACAAATAATATGCTATGAGAAATTTAAGTATTAATTTTTTGCAAAAATGAGAAAGAATTTTTCTTACTATTTTTGACTCAACAAGTGTATTTTTTCCACTAATAAGATACATGCCTTTAAATGTTAAAGAATTGATGTTGTTAAAACTACTCAAATTTACTTCTTTTACTTCAAGACCATCCTTTTTGTGTTTTGCACTTTTTTACGTTTTTTTAATCAGTATTTAATGTTGTGTCTGCCTTCAAACCAAATTAACTTGTGCCAGAATTTGATTCAAAAATGCACTTTGCAGTTTAAATCAGTTAAATGTTATTACTTAAAAACAAATTTATATTTAGTAAATTATTTGTTGCAAAAATAGACAAAACAACATTACATCTCAACTCACTTTCATTCTATTTATATAATTATTTATTTGTACATACACAAAATATCCAATATAAGAATGAAAGTTTTCATTTTTATATTTATTTTTTGCAAATATTTTGTAGAGTAAGTATATTGTCACCACAGTATGTAAACCAAGCAAAAATAAATAAATAAATAAATAAATAATGCATGATTTACATGCATCTTTGAAAATTTATGAAACATGAACTTTCAGTATGACAGGCTCTTCTCTAAACAAGAAAAAAAAAAACTCCAATGCACTTGCATTTTTGTTTTATTTTATTTTATTTTATTTTATTTAAGTGTTCCTTAAAACTTTATTATGTTACTCTGTTCTCTGTATTCATTTTGATATACATAAAGTTACCTTCACAATGGTTCTTAAATGGTAAGTACTTTGACAAAGGTTTTATGTAAAAAAAATGTTGAAAAATTTGAACAAGATGTTTCTAAACAAGTGTGAGACAATTTATCACAAAATCTAACCACAAATATGTTGTTAAAAATAGTGTATTTGTAAATCATAGTGCAACAAAGGCTCTAATTGACATAATTATTCAGTTTTGGGCAAAGATTGTGGATTGTGTGTCCTACAAGGATATTCAACATATTCAAATCAATACCTCTGTCCCCTTTAATGCAGTCAATTCTTCCCTCTAATACCAAAAGCCTTATGCTCTTGTTGATAAGTATGCATATTGAAAGGTCAAAGTGGTGTTCTTCACAATGATGTGAGTAAGTAATTATTATTATTATTATTACAAATTTTAAATATTACATCCTCAAAGACAAGAGGAGTTCCAAACTTAGTATACGAGTATTTGAATATTTACGATTATGTTCCACATGTTATCCACACCTACAATTATGTCACAAATTTCCTAATATCATCATGATGCAGAGCTGTCTTATGGGCAGTAGTAGCAGTAGCAGTGGGAGGGGGGGGGGGGAAATGGGTCAAGTGAGGCTGTGGATGGTCATGGGCAAGGGAACGAATTGCGACAGGGGACAGTTCCAGTTGTGGATTCCTGTTTGGGTTTGGGACAAAGCCACAAGTGGGCATCTAATCCCTCAGCAGATGCACCAGGTCCCCCTCCCCCTGGAATCACAATGCAGAATGGGGGAGGGAGGGATCTGGAATTGCTGGCCCCACAGCACAGTTCCAATAAGAATCCAGACATGGGGCTCTCACCCCCTTCGCCACCATGTCTCTAGCTTGATCCCCCCCTTTTGCCTTTGACTGCCCTTGTGCCATGTCCCCTCCAGCTTGGACCTATAGGGTGGTCATATTTAGTGTTAAAACCCAATACATATATATATATATATAGTGATGTCTAGATGGATGAATGGGTGTAACCATGAGTGAGCATTTACATTCATTCTTACATATATATATATATATATATACATATAGCTTGTGTATGTATGAGTGGATGAATAAAGTTGAAGTTGTTAGCAAAGCTTGTCAATGCGTTTGTGTTTTCAGAATATAATGATAATGACTGTAATGATAAAACTTACAAGTATTTGTAACTGCCTTTTGGCAGTAGTATTCCAGGCCAGCTTCCACCATGATGGAAATAATGTAGAAATTGGGTCTGATATTGCATCATGTGGGCTGGCTCTGCCTGCCCCTCCAAACCCCCAATAAGCAAGAGAGAGGGGAATGTCTTGCACTGCTCCATTGGTGGTGATGAGTCACCCCTCTGCTTTGCCCAATCCTGCCAAATTTGTTGTTTACCTGTTGTTGCCTAAGCACCCTCCTGAATGGATGTGTAAAAAGATGGATATACTGATGAGTGTTTTTGGTTTAATCAGTCCTCCATTCAGTGTTTGATAAATTAAGACTGTGACACACACACACACACACATCTTAGTAAGTACGAGTTAACTGAATCACCCACCACACCTTGCTTGAGTTGTCACAGTTTTTCCCCCCTTTTTTTAGCAGACAATTCATCAACTCATGAGTGTAGTTTTGTTTTTTTGTTTTATTTGAATGAAAGTGTGAAATGGTTGCAGTTACTTACCAAAAGAACTGCCACAGATCCTCTTTAATGTTTAATTGTAATTGATATAGTTGCATTACTTGAACCACTTCAGACACAACATTTATCAGCTTGACAAGTCACAGTGAAGTGTCAGCATTCAATGGGTTGGGATCAAAATTGCCCAGCAAAAGTCTTTCATCAACTCAACCCAACTGCAAAACCATGCTATGCATCCAATCTAGAGGCCCTCTGTCTAGAGCATTTTCATGGGGGGACAAGTCCCAAATTCTGGCACCCAGCACCACATGACAATTCTGACATGGTCAATATCCATTGGAGTGTCCAGAGTGTTCCTTTTGTCCAGTTCCCTTACAACTGTGGCTCAAAGGGAACACACAGACTATGTGTAAGTTAAAGACCTAAATCTGTTGTTTCACTTTGCATTGAGGTCACAGGCTCCTCTAGACATGAAGAGTTTTTAAAGGACCCAATATGGAAATAAAAAGAGGAGATGGGCTGGGTCCAATTTCCATGTTGGAAATTCTATCTTCCATGTCCTTTTATGCCAGCTGGTCCTAGCTTGTCCCATCTTCACATACACATATATAGACAGACAGGAAGATAGAAAACAAGGAGAGAGAGGCCCCAGCCCTGGTCTCCAATCAACCCAGTTCTATGCCACAAGCCCAGAATATTCAACCACTTTGAGAACAGTTCCAAGTGGTTCAAAAGCATGAGAATAGGCCCCAACATGGATCGTTTTCATCTCTGAGCACATGGGTATTGGATGAAACACAACTGAACACAACTAGGGTTTTGATGAATGACTCCAACCCTAGTTGTCTAATCAGGATCCACACCAAAAGATCTGATCACACTGAAACCCAAAACCTCATAACCTAAAATTAGGGTTTCAGAATGCCAACTGTTGTAATAACACACTCTCCCCCTTTAGGAACCAACACTTGCCCTAATTTCAGGGGGGGCTGCAGTGAAGGTTGCATGCACAGTGCTACAGTCTCTGCAAAGGAACAAAGCTTCCAGATGAGTGACTTTCATGGAACAGAAAAACCCTATTCTACACCTCACTGGAATTATCTTGTACCCTGGTATTATCAAAAGCTTGTCAAGCAAGCCAAAAGGTTGGTAACAACAAGGTGTTGAACATGGAGGATGTGTGTGTGAGATGGTCGTGACTTGAGACACAGGGAAATTTGAAAAGACAACCACAAGATGGATGGGAAAGGGGTGACAGGGCAAGGAACAGACAATGTGTGAGAGAAGGGGCATGGAGAGTTGTGCCATGAGATTGATGGGGATTAAAGAAAAGAAAGGAGAAAAATAAATACACATGATTTGAGGGGGGGGGGGGATTATGAGAGGAAAAGAAGTGAAATTCTGGTGAGAACGAAGTCGGGCTCAAAGGAGACAAACGAGGGGAACGAAAGAGGAATCTGGAGTTCCCATGGGGGGAACACGATTGGGGAACAAAATTGGGGATGCGTTGGGAGTGGACTTGCCAGGGCGAAGAAGGAAGAAGGCGTCCTCGGTTATGGCTTCGTCCCCAAGCTCCCAGCTATTGTTCTCATGTGGTGACTCTCGACGGTCTTCATCCCCCATCGCCACCACCTCAGATCGTGTGCGCCGGGCGACGAGCTGGTCCATCATCTTCCATCTCTCGGTCATGCATTAGTCTCTGTATCGCGCTTTGTCTGACTCGATTTGGTATCCTGTCGCGATTTTTCGTTGAGGTTTTGGGCCACCACTTCCGCCGTGTCATTGCGCACTCGCTGGCCCCGGCTTCAATCTGTGGTTCTTGGACGCTCGGTGAATTCGCTCGAGGTGCTGGTCGATGTTGTCCGTCTTTTGCGTCAGGTTTGTTCGAATTTGCGCAGTTGCTGTAGTTGTTGTTTGTTTTGTTTTGTAGGTCGGACTTGAGCAGTGTCGTACTTTCAGCGCGGCTGTTGGGCATCCCTTGTTGTGTGTGTGTGTTTTTTTTGGTGTGGTGCATAGGTTGGGCGGCTGTTCGAATTCGTGGCTTGCGTTGCGGTGCTTGTGTCGTTGCTGCCAATTCAGTTGAATCGTGCGGCGCGTGTTTGTGATCCTGTCTGAAGTGACTGCTCTCCACGTTGCGTGTAACGTGTCGTGATTTGCATTGGGTGTCGTTGTGTTAGGTCTTTGCTATTGTCTTGTCAGTGTGTTTTTGGTCGTGGTTCTGTGTTTATAACGTGTTTGAGTCGGGTGTGCGGTTCACTTCGCGTCTCGTGAACATTAGGTTTTGTCGACACCGACGGTGGATGATTGTTCTGTTGCCTTCTCAGATTTTTCACATGTAATCAGATTTAGATCCTGTGTAGTTTGCCCTGCCATTATTTCCATTTGGCGTAATGATTTTTGATAAGGAACTTCAAAAATCTACTACCCGATTATCTGCATTCTTGACCAGCATGAGTACTTACATCCGTTCAGCTTACGCTCTGTAGCTTTGCTTAGAATATTGTGTCCTTTTTTTTTTCTTCTTCCTTCTACGAAGTCTTCCCCGGTTTGCAAGCTTCGCTCTTGTTGTAGCTGTCTTTTCTCTTTCCACCTATCTTGATTGAGCTTCCGAATTAGGGCTAATGGGACGGTGGTGTAGTGGGTTCATTTTGGAGCCCGCAATGTGTAGGTCCACTGTAGCGTAGCTGATGCGATACACTGATATGCTGCAGGTCAGCATGTTTCTGCCCATGTAATGGTGACGTGTTCGTGTCGTCAACTTGAAGAAGGCTGGCTTTTGATTTGAAGATTTGATGAATATGGCATTAGTGTCTGCCTCTAAGAACCGATTTGTTGGTTTCTCTTGGTTGATGATCTTTATTTCAAGCGCTCGCACCGAACCTTAGCGCAGGCGTGTGCGTTTATGGGGACAGGTTGATGTGCATCGTGGTGGTTTTGAAGCCTCCTTGAACCACCTCTCAATCTCAAAGACTTGCATATCTTTGAACTCTTTCATGGTAGTTTTTGCTGTCTCTGGCGTGGTGGAGCTTTAGGGTTTAGTGCATTCAAGCCTACTTCGACGGCCACGCGATCTTAGTAGAGTCGCCGAAAGACGAGGCTAATAGGAGCTTTGTAGGAGCTCTTTGTAACAATAGATGATCCGGCTCGTTTCTGCTGGGCTACGTCAACTTGTTTCTTGAGGCAGGGCGGCTGTGACTGGTATTTAACATTGGGTGATTTATCAGCTTCGGCGATCACTCTTTTCTTTGTACCCACTTCTTGGAATTCGAGATATTTCACGACTCCTGGACTTGAAGCATTAGATTGTAGAGTTCTTGAACTCAGGAGACTCATTGTTCTCTTCGGCACTTGTACCAGATTTTGGGAGTTCTCGAAGCAGTTTTACTGCTTAAATTTATCCGGGATCAGGGCGGTTACATATTCCATAGCAAATCAGTTTTTAGATTTTAAAGAAAAATTTAAAATCGTCAATTTTGAATCGTTTTACCTGGAAAGTGGTGACGAATAGGGCATAATTTGGAATCAATATGGAAGACTTCGAGAAAGCAGTTTTGTTCAGTTTCGATCAGTCTGGGGCTGTGAGTGATGAATTGAAGGCCCAAGCAGCAGCTTATTGTGAGCAGGTCAAGCAAGCCCCCAACATTATTGAAGCATGTTTAGAAAAAATACGGATATCTCAGTACGCTGAGGTTCAATTCTGGTGTCTTAAGACACTTGAGGAAGTAATGCAGCAGCGGTACAAGACGTTGGATTCTCAAAAACGACTTTTTATCCGGTCTTCTCTGATGTTGGCTTTTTGCAATTTTAATCTGGATGACGCTTCGATTACTGATTCTGCAATCCCACTGTCATCTCGCCCGGTATTTATTAGAAATAAGCTTGCCCAGCTGATCGTCATCCTTATTTATCTTGAGTATCCTGCCGAGTGGCCTTCAGCTTTTCTCGACATGCTCGGGTCTCTCAGCAAAGGACCTGTGGTTGTGGACATGTTCATTCGTGTACTGAACGCACTGGACGAGGAAGTCATTAGTTTCGATTTTCCAAGGACGGAAGAAGAGGCTGCTGCCGCAACTCGGATCAAAGATGCAATGAGACAGCAGTGCATATCTCAAGTTGTGGCTGCTTGGTACAATTTAATTGTGATGTACAAGGGTCAGTCACCTCAATTAGCCGCTCAGGTATTGGAAATGATGCAGAAGTATGTTGCATGGATCGACATTGGTTTGGTCGCCAACGACAGTTTCGTTCCTTTGCTTTTTGAATTCCTCGTCTCATCCCACGAGTATCCTCAGCTTCGAGGGGCAGCTGCAGAGTGCCTTCTAGCAATCGTATCAAAAAGGATGGACGCTCCTTCCAAACTCGCTCTTCTTCAACAATTACAGGCAGGGAAGGCTTGTAGCACAATCATGGAAGAGCAGGAACCTGAATTTGCCTTAAAGCTGACAGCTTTGCTGACGGGAATTGCCACGGAGGTCCTTGAATGCAGCAAGAGAATAGAAGTAAACGGAGCCTGTGAACAATCGCTGGCTTTGGCAGAGTTGGTTACTGTCATGCTCGACGAGGTTCTACCCCCTGTGTTTTACTTTATGCAGAATGGAGATGAAGATATGTCTACTACTACGTTCCAGTTCTTGAATTCATATGTGACTCGAATGAAGAACTCTAAACCAATTAATGGAAAGCAGGCTACCCACCTAGGTCAGATCCTTGCTGTCGTCTTCACTCGCATGCGGTATGATCCATCATACAAGGATTCGATAGATGAGCCCGACAAGTCCGGATTGGAAGAGGAGGAGCGGATGGCTGAATATCGAAAGGAAATTATGGGTTTGTTTAGATCTATCAATCGTGTGGCTCCTGAAGTGACGAAAACCTTTGTAGAAAGTACGTTAGCAAGGATACTTCAGGATTCTAGTGCTGAATTCGAAGACGTTGAGGCTGCCATAGTCCTTCTCCGCGTGCTAGGTGAAGGTGTAACTGAGGAATCCATGAAACCTGAAAATAGGGGACCTCTTCGGGAGATGGTTGGGGCCTTTCTATCAATGTCTATTCCTTGTCATTCTCATCGACTTATCGCAATACTTTATCTAGAGACGGTTACAAGATACGTAAAGTTCGTTCAGTATCATCCTGAGTACATACCTCGTGTTTTATCAGCCTTTTTGGATGCTAGGGGCATGCATCATCCTAACCCTCAAGTAAGCAGTCGGGCAAGTTATCTCTTTATGCGTTTTGTTAAGGTTTTACGTATTCAACTGGTTCCATATCTGGAGAATATTTTACAGGTACGCCTTTCTATATCATATCTGCAGTTAATTGTTTGTGTGAAAGTTATATTGTCGAAAATTAGCTGGCACCTGACGTGGGCAGTTTGAGCGAGTCTCTTTGGTAATATTAAAACCATCTGGTTGCAAGTTAGTTTCTTCAAGTTCATCTTTTGCCTCTTGTCAATTGAAGCTTATGTTAACCATGTAACTTGACAGAGCTTGGAGGATTTATTGTCCAGTGTTACATTACCCAAACCACTGCTGAAGAAGGATGCTGATGAAAGAAGTTATATGTTTGAGGTTAGTTGCCACAGAACGAATAATATTTGTTTGTCTTTCGTACTTGCCATATCATACATGTATACGTGTGTATATATTTTCGATTCTCTCTCCCTCTCTCTCCCTCAACCCCTTCTTCACCCATCCAACCTTTTTGTTTTTGTGTGTTATATATAAAATTTACTGCATTTCTTTCATCCCTTCATTTATATTTCTCGTTTTCGTTTTCAACATTGCTTTGAACGTACATTTTTCTTCTTTAATATGCAGGCAGTAGGTTTGTTGATCGGTATGGAAGACCTTGCTGTCGAAAAGCAAGCAACATTTTTGTCAGCTCTCCTGGTTCCTCTTTGTGGGCAAGTAAGGTTTTCACTTGCTCTGCTCCAATTTGTCCTCTTCACAGATACTCTTGCAGTTTCTTCAGTTTGTCGCACCATGATGTAGATTGTTGTTCAAGTGCTTTTTCTCATGTAATAAACAATTCTTCTCTAGGAAGTTAATTTTGTTACAAGTTAACTGCGTCTAGATAACTGATGATGTGTATCGAATGAGATGTTTTGTTATTTTTCCTGACTCGATTAGATATGTTTCTCAGGACTGAATTCCTTTCACTTAACTGTATATACCAGGAGTGTATTCATTTAATTACTTTTCTAATTTTAGTTTAAATAAGCTATTAGGGTCATCAGTCTAGATTGATTGCCAGTATTTTACACAGAAGGTGTGATCTTGGTTGCGGCATTTGAGAATTCTGATTATTTTGTGTTGTTTTGCCGTAGGTGGAGGCGATGTTATCCAGAGATGAAGTAAAAGGAGATCCCATAGGGCCTACTCCAATCACTATGGCTTTACAGCAAATTATTATGGCGATTAGCTACCTTGGCAAGGTGACTTTAGTGTTTTTAATATGGTCCCTTCATTTCATATACGAACGGCATTTTTGATATTTCTGCTGAAAGTTGTTGGAATCGTTTACTTAATTTAAGACGTGTTGAACAATGATTTTATTTGAGATGTTGACAGGGTTTTGGAGAGCACCTCGCTACTAACGGAAGACCAGTTATTGGTAATATGTTTAAGCAGGTGTGTATACTAATTGACAAGTCTAAAGTAGGGTGTTTCATACATCTTTGTTTTTAATGGTTAAAATTTAAAATGAGAAGTTTTGTCTTGTTTTTATTGCTGTTTCTTAATTTTCTTACTTCGATTGTGATGCAGAGTTTTGACTTCCTTTGAAACATCAGTTATTTTCCGCTTGTTCTAAATTGCGGGAAAATACTGTAGCCTCTTGAACTTTCTCATTAAGAGAAGGTTACTGTTCGTTCGTTGTGAACACATTAATGTAACGATAATCACCTGTGTACATGTTTGCTCAGACTCTTGATGTTGTCCTTCGGGTTATTCCAGTGTTTCCCCAAAACAAGGTGTTGCGAAGCAAGGTAATACTTCGGGCTTTTTGTGAGATTATTTTGACTTATGGTATTTTGGAGTTGGCTATTTTATTTCCCCCTGTAATGCTAAGTTACGGAGTGAACAGGCTTGGGCTATTAGTTCCATCCTTTTTAAAATAGCAACCACGCTGGAAACTTCACATTGGCAAGTTCTTGTGTTGAGATTATTCGAGATTGCATATTCGCTTTTGTTTTGTGTTTCTTGAACTATTCACAGAAATGTATTATTTGGATTTGTGGTCATCATGTAGGTCACTTCCTTTCTTCATCAAATGGTAGAAACATTAGGTGGTGCGGTCTTGCCAGCTCTTCCAACTATCATTCAGCAGCTGCTTACTGATTGTGAGGTATGACTTTTGTCCATGACGACTGGATAAATTATGTGCGGTTGGAGATACTAGGATCGCGTGAAAGTGGATTGTGAGAGTTTCTGCAAGGAAGATATTTGCGATGGATGATTTTCTCCGAGTTAAGAGCTGAAGTTAGGAGATCTTTGAAAGTGATAACAAGTTTTGAATATTTGCTCTATTTGTAACAGCCCAAAGACCTTGTGGAGTTCATACAGCTAATCAACCAGCTTATCAACAAATTCAAAGTCGGAATGATGGACATTCTTCAAGAGATTTTTCCTGTCATTGTCGGCCGCGTCTTTGCCATCCTCCCGCAAGACGGTTTTTCTGAAGGGCCTGGAAGTCTCACAGAGGTTAATATTTAGATCCCTTACTACTTCATGCTTAATTCTTTTGTCTATCTTGCTTGTTCAGTATTGTATCTGCAGTCACGTCTACTACATTTTTATTATTATTGTTATTTTTTAGCATTTGTGTCATCAGTACTGATATTACCTCGACAAGTATGTCACTGAGTGCTCATTTTTTTGTATGGTTTCTTTCTATTTCAGGAAGTGCGGGAGTTACTAGATTTGCAGAGAAACTACTTTTTGTTAATTCATGCAATGACAACCCAGGAACTTTCTCCGGTTATGCTTTCTCAAAAGAGTAGTCCATTACTTCAGAACATTATTGGTTTACTGTTGGATGCCTCGTGCAATCACAAAGATGTGCTCGTAAGAAAGGTAGATTTTTGTCTGTTCTGTCCTTATTCTAGGCGCTCTTAGTTCTGCAGCATCGAATCCAGCTTTCACAATCCGAAGGATTTTAATCAGCATGTTATTAGTGTCACTGGATTCTTTACTGGAGCCTTATTTTATGTTTATGATGCAGATATGTGTCCAAGTCTTCAACAAACTCATTGCAGACTGGTGCGTGGCTAGTCCAGAAGAGGAGAAGGTGTGTAATCATTTAAAAATTCTCTTACTGCCTATAGTAGCTTATAACTTTCACTTGTGCTCTCTTTGTTCAGCAGCTATCAGTTTTGTAGTTTTTGATATGATCAGGTCCAATTTCTTGGTAGCGGGGTGTAGCAACTGTTTTATTTTATCAGCACATTTAACAATGTTTGGAACGTTCAGGTAACTTTTAACTTGCAACTTGTGTAATCATGACAGCTAACTTCCTACTTCCAGGTGCCTGGTTTTCGCCAATTTTTGGTGGAGAGATTTGCAGCAGAATGTTGCATCTACAAAGTTTCGGAACCTTCCTTCAATTTTCGAGATGCGAATACTGTACGTTTCAAAACAATAGATATCACACGAAGTGCATCATGGTGTTTTCTCCTACTGTCCTGCAATAGATATATTTTAAAACAGGACATTACTTCACACTATGTTCATTCTTGTCACATTTGGCTTATCAGATGGTATTTTTAAAGAACAATTATGTGATCTTTCATGATGCAGGTTGCTTTATTTGGTGAAATAGTAACAGCTCAAAAGCTTTTGTATGAGAAATGTGGCAATGATTTGCTGATGCATTTGGCAACCAAAGTTTTGCCTGCCGTGCATTGCCCTCCAAATTTAGCTGAACAATTCTGCCTACATATTCAGGTAGACATGCCTGATTACATTTATTGATTGATATTGTAATAGGATTCGACCGTGGATGTCACGTTTCCTGGCCATAAATGTCTATTTATAGTTGCCAGGTTTTCGTGAATGTGGTTTATTTTGATTAATACACTCATTCTTTCAAGTACTGTTATCCTATATTTACTTGCCTGTTTTACTTCCGATGGCTAGCCTGGTGAAGCTTTCGTGATTAACATTGATTTATTGATGCAGAGATCTGACGTGAAGGAGCTCAAACCATTGTATAAGTCTTTTATAGAGAAGCTGAGACCACAACAACAGCAGAATGGTCACGCTTGGAGCAGATAGCAGGAGATGCTTATTATAATGTTGTGTGCAAGTAACAGTTTCTTGTTGGGCGATGAAGCCAATAATTGCGTTCTGCATCTCAAAGTTTGCTTATTTATGAATGACCAAGTTGATGAAAGGGATGAGATATGTCTGCTTCATAACATGCATATGGTCATGGTCAGGACCTTGTGCTTGCTTGCACTTTACAGAAAAGATGAGCACCGCTGATGAGACGCTGGCAGACAGTTTGACATCCAATGGAGGTATGGTAACGATTCTAGACGTTGTGTGATCTGAGAATAGTGAAGTGATTTTAGTTTGGTGAACTCGGGCAACATTTCTATCAGGAGCTTTTGAAGTAATCCTTGAGTTCCTATGTATTTTTTGGCTGAGTAACTACCTGGTGTGTTGGTGACAAGCGGATGAAACGGCTTCTAAGTATCTTTTCTAATGCTATTTTGCAGAGCTTGCCATTGTGGAGGAGTGAAAGTGAGCAAATCCCCTATATTTTTGTTAGGAATCGAGTTTTGTTTGTAGTAAGACCCACTATCGTAGATTGCATGCCAGTGAGCTGCAGAAACATAATTCATACGTTGTAACGGAATTTACCATTGTCACCCAGAATGTTTAGTCTTCTTGTACCCGTGCTAATTATAGTGAAGTTTTTGGAGAGGTTTTGCCAAGTTAGTCATCAAATGAGCTATGTTGTTCCTCTTTGAACAGCAGATTCTTCCTGTAGAACTATCTCAGTCCATGTGTTTGAAAAAGAGGGTGCTTATTAATGAAAAATGCTAACACCAAAGGTGGTAGACGTGTTCTCAGATAATTTCTCAGAGTTTCGAAAGCTTGTGCATAATCGAGAGAGATAGTCTGCCATGTATGGTTAAAACTTCCTACTATTGTACACAACGTCAGATTCTTGAGGTTGAACTTTCGTATTGCCCTTGGCTAGTCCTGTTTGTTGTTATCCAACGGTATGCTTGTCTGTTTCAACACGCTCTTTTCCTACAAATGTGTGCGTTGACTTCCAACATTTAAGAGAGTGCTTTTCAGTTGTAAACGATCGAAATCAGACATAACTTTCACACATTCTGAATAGGAGTGAAGTGATATTCCACAAATCAGATCACAGCGTTACAGAAGGCACTTTCTAGTTTGTTTCTCAAAACTCACGAGTTATGGAAATTCTAATATATCATGGCGAGATGAGAAATCATTAAGAAGTGTTTTTAGACGAACCCACAGCTGGGTTTTAGTTTTTTTCAAACTTCGTCTCTACAGCCACGAGTCACATCCTAGTCAATGATATATGGTCATTTCACAAGCACTATTGTCATGTAGAGCTTGTCGTTTATTCCACCTGTTATCGACTTTTCTTCAATATGTGGTATATGTTTCAGGACACAAAATCTTGTGAGAATGAATTCATGCCGAAATTAAAAGGAATATCTTTATCAATTTGTTTGGCTCGAGGCCTCTCAGCCTTCAGATCACAAGGTTTAATCGTGACCGTTAGACAAATTCTCGGGAACGTGTCTGGAACACAGGGCTGTACTAGAACTGTAGTAAAATCATGAGGACCATTATCACTACTTTGATTGTTGTGGGATAGCTTTCTAAAACATTGCTAAGCCCCAACTAAAATAATTTCATTTGGCATTAATCATGATCTTTTTTTCCAGTGTAGTCAAAATTTTCCTTGGTTTTAATAATGAAGACAGAAACAGATAATATATATATATATATAAACTGTTTCTGTCTTCATTATTATATATATATATATATATATATATATTTTAACTTTCACAATGGTATGTCATATTGTTTAAATATTAATCTTGTAAATGGATACTTAACCAAGAATATGAGCATAAGTAAATTACTTAACTAATCTGTTCTTCTTGTTGTATTTGATGCATTCTCTACTCTTTAACAAAGTACGAATAAATAAGTAAATAAAATCATTAAGATGATTGTATTGTGGTTTCAGTATATAAAAATCATTTTTTTATTTTTTAATTTTTACTTACAACTATTGAGCACAGTTCAACAGTGAGGGACTGAAACCCCCAAAAATCCTCAGTAACTCGTGCTTTGAGTTCCCCAAGTGAGGGATACACACTCTACAGCCTCTTGTACTAGCCTAATTTGACAAACAACTAACCCCCCTCGTGTACAACCACTTCAAGCTAAAAAACCTCAGTAAGAATATTTATTTCGATAAATAACTCTTCTAGGATTGAATCTGAGTGGAACTTACGATCCGACGTCGGAGACAGTCGATTGAGTTGGGAGGGTTTCAAGGACACAGTGTTCTACGAGGAACTCTATGCACTCTGATCCATGAAGCTGATGGATGCGTCATACAAAGTGGAAAGGTCTTCGCTCTTGTAGCTGGAAATGACGCTGACTTAGCCTTGTCGTAACTGTCCACGCATCATTCTGACGTCAATCAACTTCAGGTTGTGTCAGTAGTCGTTCGGAATGAAAGGTGAATGCACATTATAAAATAGAGCCTTCCATACTTGTGACTAGCTGGTGGTACAAGCTTTTAATGCTCTGACACTTTTCTTTTCTTTTGGAACGTGTGGAACACATTTTTGAGTTTGCTTTTTTTGACTAGTGTGGAAAACTTCAACTGGTAACCTCAGTTATTGCAAACATGATTTTTTTCCATCGTCACAAAACCACTATTCTACACAACAAGTTGCCGCGAATAGAGCATGTAACACAGAATGGCCAGCTGAATGTGCTCCGTTTCGTCGTCCGAGTCAGAGCTGAATGAACGGTGCTCCTCGCTGGCAATTCCTTGAAAGTGAACCATGTCAAACTGTGCATCCACTTCTGGGGCCTCGTGCGCACGCGGAGCATCACCGGAGAGAGTTATTTAGGTTTCGAAGAAACGTAGATTACACCTGGGAATTTTGGATCCCTGCAGGCTCCTCTAGATTCAAGGCACGCCCTGGAGATCAGTATGGGACGTCAGTAATCTAATGGAACCTTCGAGACCTTCTAGTATCTCATTTAGGTTGCTTGTTCTCACTCATGTCACAACAGCTCGCTGAAAGTGGCTTTTGAAGCTTTGAGCACGGGGGGAAGAAGCGAGCTTGTCAGCAATTTTGAAGGTTTGTGATTGTGAATCCGAAATTCGGCGACATGGGCAACTCAAGCGGGAGGCCGAGAGATAGTCGGAAGGGTAGCGGTGGGGGTTCTCAGGGAGGGTCGTCGCAGGGTAGTTATCCGAGGAATGAGGGCAGCTATCCGAGGGGCAGTGGCCACGGCGGAAGCACACAACCAAGGGGATGCAATCAGGGCGGAAGCACTCAGCCTAGAGGCAGCAATCAAGGCGGAAGCACCCAGCCAAGGGGTGGCAGCCATGGCAACGCCGGTGGTTACAGACAAGCACCAAAGTATACTCCACCTGTTCCTAAGCCCAAGCCTGTCGCGCCGGGATTCTTAGGGAAGCCTCTGTCGGACATCTTGAATTCATACACGCTGGGTAAGGAGCTCGGCCGCGGCGAGTTTGGGGTGACTTACACCTGCACCCACAAGGACACGAATGAAGTTTACGCATGCAAGACCATAGCCAAGCGGAAGCTCACACACAAGGACGACATTGAGGATGTCAAGCGGGAGGTTCAGATCATGCATCATCTCTCGGGAACTCTCAATATTGTCACACTGAAAGCGGTATTCGAGGACAAGCACAATATACACCTCGTGATGGAGCTGTGTGCGGGCGGAGAGCTTTTCGATCGCATCGTTGCTAAGAAATGTTACAGTGAGCGAGCTGCTTCTGATTTGTGCAGGGTCATCGTGAACGTTGTGCACAGGTGCCACTCGTTGGGCGTGTTCCACCGGGATCTGAAGCCCGAGAATTTCCTGTTCACTAGCATGGCTGAGGACGCACCTCTGAAAGCCACAGATTTTGGTCTTTCGACATTCTTCAAGCCTGGCGAGAGGTTCCAGGACCTTGTGGGAACTGCTTACTACATCGCCCCCGAAGTCTTAAGAAAAGATTACGGTCCCGAAGCCGACGTATGGAGCGCTGGTGTTATCTTGTATATCTTGTTGTGTGGAGTGCCACCGTTTTGGGCGGAAACGGAGAAAGGGATTTTCGATGCGATCATGCGAGGGACTCTTGACTTCACGAGCGATCCATGGCCGAGAATTTCGGATGACGCTAAAGTCCTAGTGAAGGGTATGTTGAACCCCGATGTGAATGCGCGCCTTACGGCCCAGCAGGTGTTGGATCATCCATGGATGAAGGAGGATGGCGCTTCCAATGCGCCACTTGACAATGCAGTGTTGACCAGATTGAAGAACTTTTCTGCTGCCAACAAGATGAAGAAGCTGGCACTGAAGGTGATAGCCCAGAATCTGTCGGAAGAAGAGATCGCAGGGTTGAGGCAGTTGTTTAAGTCCATAGATGTCGACAATAGCGGGACGGTGACCCTTCTGGAGCTGAAAGAAGGTTTGATAAAACAGGGTAGCAAATTCTCTGAATCGGACATTGCCAAGCTGATGGAATCAGCTGACTTAGATGGGAACGGGAAGATTGACTTCAACGAGTTCATCTCAGCAACAATGCATATGAACAAGCTCGAGAAGGAAGATCACCTGTTCGCCGCATTCCATCACTTCGATCGGGATAACAGTGGGTACATCACCGTCTTTGAACTACAGCAAGCACTGGAGGAGAATGGTGTTGGAGATTACGATACAATTCAAGAGATCATTGATGAGGTGGATACAGACAACGATGGGAGAATAGATTACGACGAATTCGTAGCTATGATGCGGAAAGGCAATCCTGGTGCAGAAGAGGGCGAGAAACATAACCATAGACATAGGTACTAGCTCCAAGTTTTAGGTAACCATGAATTCTATGCCTCATTTTCATTGTTAAAATTCTGTAGCGTGAGGCACCGGCTTCTTTATACATGCGTTGGAGACCAAAATTTGTTAATGTAGTAAACCTTGTTCATTTAATATGGACACAACCTCGTTCAGCAGCAATTTGCAACTATCCGGAGTAGTGGTGGTCTTGGATACGAAACATCATTCTGTCGGTATTCAGATCAGGAGCTGCTGTGACATGGCTACTGCATTTCATACTGTTTTCGGTGTCAGAGGACCAATAGTTCTCAAATGATGCCGTGTCGACGGACGTCTTGTCATATTCATTGTCGTGAAACATTTGGTTGGATGTTTTGTCTGTCAGTGATTGGGATAGTCCTGCACCGAATCTGCTCTCGTTGCCTCAGTCCACGCATTCATTTCATTTTGCAACTGCTATGACGTCATCGTATTCAATAATTGTTACCAGCTTGAATGTCTTCTGATTTTTATTTCTCCTAGCATGTAGACGTACTTACTGGTGAGCATAGACTAGTTATAAATCTTGTCAAGATGTGTGCACCGCAGCGCTAGAATGTTGGAGAAATTTCGTATCAGGATTGCAATCGTACGAGAAATTTGTCATATCACATGATTTGTTTCTGTGACGCAAACTCAGACATACTGACCATCGCTCATTCCTTTCCACACGATTTTCAGAGAACGGGAAATTTCGTGTTTCTCTGAGTGGATCTGGTGCTCAGGAAGGGGCAGTTGAACAGGATTAGTGAACATGTCGTTGAGTAGGAAGCGCAATGAGTTGCACGAGACGACCTCATCTTTTTCGGGGGAATACTGGGCACAAGTTAAATTCGTTTACAGCGCTATTGAAAGCATTTGAGGACAAAGGTGCAGTTGTCGAAGAACGGTCTGCACAGGTGTGTTCGCGCACGTCACAGTGTTTCACTTTCTCCAATGAAGACTAATTCTGAATGAACGAGTGTACAGTGAAATAAGTCCACTATACAGGTGGCTAAAGATGGCCGAGCTGCAGAACACCCACCAAGCTTCTAAATTCATCGAAGCAGGTCTGGCTGTGAAGAGATTTGCTGCCGTAAGCGGCTATGACAACACAAACTGCATCAGCGACAAGTGGCATTGGTGAAGATCGAGTGGCCTTTTCTGTCTCCCCTCTAAACCCTGGCGACAGCAATGCATTTATGTATGAACTAAAGCTAATTCTATGTATGAATCAAGCAATAGTGTTTGAAGAAAATTGACTCTCTGTTGCTCCATCAAGTCCTGGCAAAGATTGCAACCAAGAAGAGAGTTGGAATTTGTTGTCAAGTGAGTCCAGAGGCATTCAAGAGGGGTTTCTTGGACTATAAATGATGTAATATAGCAGAATGTGCTGGAAGCTTATTTCTAACATGAAATGCAATGCATTTTTTCCTGTTCTATTACGAGGGTTTTTAAAAACAGTAGCGAGAACCAGGCTGAAAGACTTTCACAAGCATGCAAGGACCAGGTACTTCACCAAATTCGCAAGCAAAAAGTAACAGAAATGATACATGTTTACAGTGTAAGAGCCATTTACTGCCTATCACACACAAGGGCATCCGCAGCTCAACACGATGCACACCATGCCATAGCTTTATATATTCAAATCACTTCAAACTGGAGAATCGGTACTTCATTTCGCTTGCGCAGGACCTTTCTCAACCTTAACTCCTTTCCAGAAAGCAACATAGTCCTGCAACCATAGTTTAGGTATGAATTGTCAAGAGAGTCTGCCAGCCCAACATCTCACAAACCGATCTAAACTTTCTTACCCGTCTCCACAGTATTCGTAATCCCCGCAAGATCCACATTACATGTCAAAAGCTTCCAAGAAAATACGAAATCGCACCTTCGAATATCAAAATAACCGCATCCTCCACAAAGAATGGCAAAAATACACAACGAACTCGAGATACAAGGAATCCACATTCTGTTGCTCAACATACTTTAACGTTCGCAGCAGCTGGTTTGGGAGTTGGGTAAAACCACGCAGCGTCCTTGTTCACCTTGCCGTCCACTTCAATGGTGTAATACGATGCTACCCCCTTCCAACCTGCCCATACCCAATTCAATTAAACCGCCTTGCGGCACATCAATTCTATCCTCTGCTGCCACTCCTACAAGAATGTCAAAGCAATCCCACAATTGCAATCCACACAGCGTACGAATTAACACTCAATTTGCTGCTCTCAAGTACCGCAGGTTGTATGAGTGTTGCTGGGCTTGAAATACTGCATATCGATAGCAGTGGGCGGGAAATAGACATTGCCCTCCACCACTTCGTAGACGTCCGTGGCTGCTATCGTCGCTCCGTTCCAAATTGCCTTGGTCGCCATCTCTTTCACGATTGCCTGCTTCGCAACCGGAATTCCCCACAGCTTCTTCACAAACTACTAGGATGACGATGATGAGTGGCAATGTGATATTGAAACACCAACCGTTTAAATCGTGAGTACAGGGATATTTGTCAGTGAAGAGGGGGTAGCTTCTTGCGCAGCATCGTCGAGCAGGTGTCAGGTTTAGGGTGGAAGCTGGTCACCTATTACCGGCTTTTTCGGATAAGAAATTGAGGTCAAAAGATATGGTAATGGAAACATTGGGTGAATTGAATCAGACACAGTGACTAGGTTTGGATTTGTGAGTAACATGAAATCATGAGCGTTTTCAGGAGGGGGATTAGAACACCGCTGCTGCAAATGGTCTTAAAACCTCGTTTTCCCCATGCTTCAAGTCGTACATCCTGCGGATATGTTGCCTCTCGTCCACTCATCTCCGCCCGATTCCCAGGTTCCAAAATTTAAATAAAAGACGGATATGAAAGATGAAAAGTGGTTTACAAGTGGTATTTCCCTTCGTAAAATTAGGAGAAACTAATCGCTCATACCGATTGCTACAGTCCCGCAATCATCCACTCAAGTGGATCTTTGCCGTTCTTGCACGAGATGTACAATCCTTGCGTTGCGGGACTCTTCCTCCAACGCTTCTGGCCAGAAGGGAGGGGAGTGGGGCAGACAGTAATAGTCAGGAAATCTTTGCTCTCAAGCGCATGCCGTGTTGTAGGCTTGATGGCTACGGAGGTTTTGCTCCACTTGTGCAAAGGAAATGAGTTCGGCAGGGAGCTTGTGCCGGATGGTGATGGTGGGTGACGTCCACAAATGGGTCACATTCTCCGGCCGCTGATGTGTACCACTGCTAGGAGATTGGTTGCACAGTAGCGCTCTGAAGTGAAAGATCATTGATGCAGAGACCTCTCCACTATGACCTTACGTTATGTTCGGGAAGCATATTTCCGAGTTGGGCGCCTAAGCTACCAAGTGAACTGCCTCGGTCGCGGAGGGACATAGTGTGATGCTTGATTTTGGTAATGAGGTTTTGTTTCTTTCAAGTGCGGAATGTTCATCAAGGGTGAGCACCAGAAGTGGCCTTGATGAGTCTTGAAGTGCATCGATTAAGTGTATCTTTTCGGATATTTTACACGTTGAATCCTCTGAAGGAGGATGAGGTAGTACACAATCATGTCAGACTACTTGCAGCAGGCAAACGATGTTTTGAAAGAACTGCAGAATATTCGTGTGAAACTGAACTTGGAGCAGTGTAAGTTCTTGATGGCAAAACTCGCGGATGCTATAAAAGATGTGAATAGACGTGTTCGCCGTGCCGATAGAGAATTTGACCTCGTCCTGAGTGAGCTCTATCGCGTGACTCTGAGAGTGTGGAGCCTTTTGCTTGACTGTTGCTATTGCACTCAAGATAGTTGTCTTTTATCACGGATCATAGCTGCCAGCCAAGTGACGGACAGCAGGCAACGATTTCTCAAGCTTCATGCCGAGCTGAAATGGTGTCTATTCTTGATCAGCTGCATTGTCAAAGCTCCCAGGCGACCATCACTGGGGGATTTTAACTGGGACAAAACTGTAGACTCGATTGCCAATGACATCACTTTCATCAACGCTGCAAATACCGATTGGATACATTTAGTAAAGCTGCTGAAGGAGAGCTTTAAGGAGCTGGGTGATCATCGTGTAGCATGCAAGTGTATGCTCTCTCGTTTGGGAGAAAGGGTGGATTCGAAATGGGAGTTGGGCATTCCTCTTGTCACCAACCGAACTTTGCTCGAGGATGGCCAAGGAGGGCAGGGAACCATCGACGTCGTGACTTGGAAGGATAAGGTTTTAGTGGAGAAGACTTTCAATGATCTCACCGATGGGGAAGTTTTCAGAAAGGAAGCGGACTTTCTTGGAAGATTTAGTCATCCTCATATATTGAGCATGATATGTTCTTACGAGCAACCAGAAGGATACGGCCACATCATGATGGAGAAATTCTCCAAGGATCTTCATGCTTACATACGTAATAGAAAGTCGCCATTAGCGCCATTGGAAGCTGCAGAAATCATTCTTCAGATCTCTGAAGGTATGCACTACTTACACACTGTACAAAAGGTGGCACACAGAGGCTTGAAGCCAAAAAATGTGTTGGTGAAGGAATATCCTGTATTGGTAGTAAAAGTTAGCGATTTTGGGTTGGCGAAGGTGACGGAATCAATATCTGCCAGGTCGGAACAGACAGCCAATTGCGGCACCACTTTGTACAGAGCTCCGGAAATGTTTGCCATCCCTGGTCAAGAGCCTCACCATGAATGTGAATTTATAAGCGGAGCCAAGTCTCGGAATCCCTGGTGTGTGAATGCGAATGCTTTCAAGGCGGATGTTTACAGCTTCGCTGTCACTTGCTTTTTTATTCTGACGGGTGAAGAGCCATACAGAGGGCACAGGTTAGGTGTACTATACGACGTAGTAAAAGTTAGAGGCCTAAGGCCAGTGCTGCCTGCTTCTTGTCCACCAATTTTGTCGTGGCTTATTGAGAGATGCTGGCATCCAGATTCATCCCAGAGGCCGTCATTCTCTGAAATCTGCGAAGTACTAAGGACACTAAAAGCTATTCTTCTCACAGGTTTGTTCTTTTATCGACCATGTCTTCTGTTAGTTTCTTTCTCTCAACTAATTAGGCACTTAATGACTATGTGTTATTGATACAATCATACATACTCATTATGTTTAACATCTTGATAACATATTAATATCCAACATACTATAATGTGTACACAGGAGGTAGTGGCTTTCTGGACAAACCTGGAGTGGAAGATCTAGCAGAATCAGGTTTAATAACTCTACTAACGCCAGAAAAGTATACAGCAAATAAGAGAATCCTTGTGGTCGGTAGGTCAGATTCTGGCAAAGAAAACCTCATTGATCTTGTTTGTGGTTTTAGGAATGGGTCTGTGAATGACGCCAAATCAGGTCGATGGACTCCTGATTCGTCTATGTGCCTTTTAAACACTGGAGATCTTGAAAGTAGAGGCCAATTGGATTTTTTAAAAAATCTTATCATGAGCAAGAATGGAGCATGGACCTCAAAGTCTATGAAGCGGCAATGGTATTCAGCTCTCCATCCCTGGAAGCGAGTGGAGCAGGAGGATTCGTTGGCTTACAGTAACAGGATTCATTTGCTGTGGCTTGTCTACTCAGTGGACAACTCTCCCGGTCCGGAATTCACCAAACTAAAGAATCTTTGTAATCTCCCGATCCAAATAGTGATAACCCAGAAGGACGAGAAGCACGATCCCAATGGTAGCTTGTACCATAAAAATTTCCATGCTAGGGAAGCGTCCTCTTTTCCTAAAGAAAGTCAAGTCGAGTTGAAGAAGAAAATTGTGAAAGTGAATTTTGCGCATTTTACACAAGGTGATGATCTTCGCACTCAGCTCTGGAATTCTTGTGAGGCAGCTCAAACGAAAGCGGACATCAAATTTGTCTCGTAGATCATTTCGTGGGTGTACAAAAAACTGGGACGTAAAGGATTCGTCGTCTCTAGGCCCGATGTTACGCCTTTAGGGCGGGAATATTCTTTGACAAAAAGCGCTGTGTTTGTTTTTCAATTCTTGTGCGATTGGTGGGATGTACCGTCTGAATTAGCAGCTGTGTTAAAAGCTAAAATCAAATCCTTGGACCGAGTGGCTGTCAGCGGCGCAAACTATATAGAGATACGAAGCGGTGAAGAATTTGTGTTATTCTGTGTTCGTTGCGCTGGTTTTATACTTTACAGCAAAGGGCTGCATCCGAACGGCTGGTTATCTGCTGATACATCCCCGTTTTACTCAACCTGGGATGCAGAAGTGAGCGCCTATTTTTGTTCTCATTCAGAGGAATTGGGTGAGTGGCGGTTTGATGAGAGTACTCTGAGTCGTTGGAATCTGGTATATACTTGCCTGCAAGAACTTCTTCAGCATGCTTATGACCAAGGTGTTAGCTTAGGACAGCAGCTTAAACATCCTTGTCCTCCTCCTGGCCCGGTCCCTCCTCGTCAGCTCTATGATGCCCTTCGACCTGTTCCTGAACCCCAACCAAAAAGAACATTCCTTATTTTTTTTCTCTCAAGCTGCTTTCAAGTTCTTCAAAGATTTTTTAGAAGAATGCCGTTTTGGTGATTGAAGTTGCAGCATTGGTCAGTTCAAGTGAGGCTTTAAAGCTGAGTCAATCCAAGTGAACCACGTCGACAGCCTTATCACAATCTCCGCTATCTCATCGCCGCACAGTGAGTATGGTTAGAGGGCGTGGTTACACACTGCAATCTTGGAATGCTTGGTGAGGCATTCCGCACTTGTCGATTGAGTTGCAGGTAAAGATGAGGAAACTTAATAGTTTTATTCAACTCTTCAAGCTTCTGGCGTAGTCAGAGCATCCAACTCTTTACTCCCTCCCTTCCAAGAGCACTTACTGTGTGGACGATTCGTACCAGCAAATCAGCATATTTAGTAAGGGAATGTTTACTTGATATTCGCAGATGTATTTTGTCTTCACAAAAGTGGTTTAGACACAGAGATGAACACGTTTCTGTATCGCCGTTCTGGAGAGTTCATATGAGCTTGTGATTTTATTAGGCCCTTTGTTTCAACCAGAACAAGATGTATGATCTTGTCAGTGTGCCTTGGTAGTGCTTTCATGGTAGTTTGAAAATATTTCTGTTCTTATCTCCATGTATCGTTGAGCAGGGTGGGAGTTCATATATGCAGTGGATTCAGCAGCTGTTGGTACGGACAGAGCATGTGCAGGTAAGCGAACATAAATCTAGACAAACCTGTTGATCGAGGCTGGAAGTAATAGGGAAGCTCTTAATCTCCTTGGACATTGGACTTTGAGAGTTAAGGTTAGCTTTATGTTAATTACGTTGCCTAAGTGATAATTTGTCACTTTAAGCCTGACCCTCTTGTGGTGTGGTCATTCTTGGTGTAGAAACCTTCCTTCATGGGCGTACCTATCACTCTTAAGTAGCTTAGCATTTCAGGACTTGCTTTGCAGCCATATGGTCAAAAATGTAGTTGGGTCAGAGAGCAGTCCATGCCTTTTCCTTCGCATATAGGTTCTGTAACAATGAAACAACTGGGACAGTAAAATCAAAGTTCTCAAATGAACTTGACTGTTCGCCCGGTGCAGACTTCAATCACTCAACCATTTCAGGTGCATAACACTGTTCCCAGCTATTAGATTTCCTTGTCCTCCTCATCAAGCAACTGTAGCAAGCAATGTTTCAACCTCTCATTATCCCTATTTCATGCAGTCACGTTGCTTGCAATGGACCACAACTCAACGTGTCGAAACTTTGCAGAATCATGGAGGAATTGTGGTTAGTCACAAGCCTAATCAGCATGTGGATGTTTCAGAGGGCCTGAAGCCAATGCATTGACTCTTCAAGTCAGATGCCAGCATAGATTGCTGATTTTATTGTATTGAGTTACATTTATATTGTACACCATTACATCCAATACAACATATTCAGTAATCCATGTTTCATCTATTTCTTGTGTGTAACGTGATACAGTGTTGTCATGTTATTCGTTGCTTGTATTATACATTCTGGTTTATGCATTCGTAGTAGAAATATGTTACAATGTCGAATGATTTTTTATATTAAGAATTGTTCAATCATTAAATAATGAATTACGATTTATACATATTTTAATTTCTAATAATAATAATAAAATAGTTCAAGTATTTAAGATCAAAAGTTAAACATGTAAAAAATATATATAAGATAGCTCATTTCAATAGGATAATGTTATATAGATTTAATATATTCAAATTTAGTAATATTTTCAGTTATTTTTTTGGTATGTCTCATTATACATTATATAAACCATTTAAGTTATTCAAGGATATCTTATAAAAAAGAATACATTTGATGCAAGAAATTATAATAATAATCTATTAAAGTTTCTTTTATTTTTTGACTTATTTCAAAACAAAAGTTTGTTGTAAAGAACTTTCAAAATAGGATTTCTACAGCTGTTTCATAGTGTCGTGTAGATGTGCTAGTAAATACACTCTTACAAAGTGTGCATCTTTTTCTCAAAATGTCATAAAATAGTGTAAGCTGAAAATTATTAAAAAATATTACTTTGCCAATATAAAAAGTCTGATATGTATTGAGGCCATGTTTAAGACATTATATTTAAATGAAATGGCATAATATATATATATATATATATATATATATATATATAAGTATGTTTATTGGTGTATTTATATTATTTTATTTTATGTTAGCTAACATGGAAGTAACATTAGATTATAAAAATAATTTAATTAGGCAGATTCTAAAAAACTTTTTTTAAAATTAATTAAATATAAAAATGTTTTAAAAACCTAAAATAATTTAAATAAAAATATCAAAAAATATACAAATTCAATTATGTTGTATTGAACTTTAAAACATATATTACAATAATAATAAAAAAATAAAAAATAAACAAGAATGGTCGTCAATTAATAGCAATAAAAATTATTAAGAAAATTATCTAAGGAATCGGTAGATTATTAAAAAGAAATTTGTGAAATACGTAGAAAATTAAAAAAAATTAAAAAAATCTATATTATGTGATTATTACACTCTAGTACAATTAGAAACATTTATGTGTAGATTTTTGGAATGCCTGCAAGTAAAAAGACATGGACTTGGGTTTAATCAGTCATCAATGAGTTGGTTATAAGTTCAAGACATTAAGAGCTTTTGGAGGCATTCTCATAGAAAAATATAGTTTAAAAGATTCAAAATAATATGGGCATTAATAAAAACATGCAAAAATATATAGATGAATTAAATGTAACAAATTGCAAAGGCAACTAAAAACATATATGATCAAATAAACATACTTAGAAATTGATAAGTTCTAACCTCTTAAATTAAAGAAGAATGATGTAAATATTTTATAAGAGATAAAATACATAAACAATTTAATGATAGTACTTTAACACTTGTAGATTGGAATAGTCATAGATGGATTAAAAAATAATAGAAATAATAGAAATAATAATAATAATAATAAATTAGATAGAGTTCTAGTGCACCAGAAAGTACATTAATTATTTACAAAGCAATAATAGAAAGTAAACATTTTTTGTTAAATAACAAGATTAGATATAATGCATTATCTTCTATTATTCAACAATGGCGTTAGAAATTTAGATACCTCTTATTTAACAAAAATTTAATTAATGTAGCATATATATCCCAATTTTGATAAAATAACAATAATAATACAAGTATGTAGAATTAATTCTATGTAAATAATTACATAAGAATATTTTTAAAAAAATTATATCTAAATATTAAATTAGTGACATATTAATAAAGTTATCAAGAAGTGATTAGATCAACAAAAGATATTTTATATAAATCAATAAACTTTATTATTATAATTTACAATAGTATCTAGATGAATAATTTTTAATTTTAAGAATAAATTAGAATAAATTAATATTAATAAAATATTATTATATTATTAATTATAAGATTGTTGAAAGAAAATAATAATATGTTGGCACCAAAAGAAGTTTCTTATATTATCTTTAGAAAAATATTTATCAAAAGTAAAAATGATGCTATTCTTTTCATAGAAATTTTGAAAAAAAAAAAACACAACTTCTTTATGTTGACTATAGATAGTATTGAAACTTATTTTGTAGACCAATATTATATCATTAAGCTTGTTTAAAGGTACTATAGTTGCCTTGAGTGATTTTGTAATCAAGTTGTCTAATGAAACTTATATATTTTTTATTTGTAGTGTGTATTGACTTATGTATATTTTTAAAATAATTAAAATTAAAATAATTTTTTTATAATAGTAAATATATATATATATACATTTAAATAAAAAAAATACTATAATTTTAAAGTATAACTAATTATATTGGATAATTCTTTTAAAATAGAATTAAATGAGCATTTTGAAGGTGATGTCTTCAGTTGGAAAAGTATGTACCATAATAATTAATACAATCTAATGCATAATAATTATGTGATAGTACAATTTTTTCTTAAATATAATTATTAAATATGGATCTCATTAATAAATATTATACACTGGATTATTATTCTTAAGGATAGGATTTTACCTATTATATATTTATCATTATAGACATACTTAATTATCTAAATAAATAGTATTAGGCAAAAGACAAATGTAGATAGATTTGATAATATCTTGTGATAAAGCTTTTTAGAAGCTTCATAGATGCAAATTTGATTTTATATGTATTTGTTGTTGATTGGTATGTTAAAAACTTAGCCAACAAGTTAGCGACATATTGCACATATTAGTGGCTTGTGGTACAAGCTGATAATATGGCACATATGTAGAAAACTTGTCTTGCAAGTTAGACATGTGGATATTTATGTTATATTTATTTTTTGAAATCTTAAAGAAATTATAAAAAAAAACATTAAAAAATCATAAATAATTTTACAAAAATTCAATAGAAATAGAAATAAAAATAAAAAATCTTAAAGAAAGATTAAAATTAAAAAATTTAAACAAAATATTAAAAATAAAAACCTTAAAAAATTTCTATCCAAATCCTAATAAAATCCTAATTAAATTCTAACCAAATCCTAATCAAATTCTAATAAAATCTTAACTAAATTCTAACCAAATCCTAAATGAAATTTAAATCTTAAACATAATTCCAATCAAGCCTTAAACTTTAAATCAAATCTTAAACCGTGAAAAAAATCCTAAATAAATTCTAATAAAATCTTAAATCCTAAATCAAATCTTAACAAAATCCTAATTGAATCATAAGTTTAAATAAATCCTTAATCAATTCTATATTAGATTGAAACTTCAATAGTTAATAATTTAAATATTGATTTTGATTCAAAATTTACACATCTCTCCATTACTAAGTTTAAAACAAGATTTTTTTTTAAAGAAGATTAAATTTATCAATTAAAATATAATCCTAAAATCTACTTGGATATTGGCCAACTTCTTTTTCCAACTTTGATGTCAATATCCATATATCAATATTTTTTAATTGTACAGTCTAATGACTTTTAAACTTTGCAAAGATGTTTAAAATCAAGTCAACTACTATTGAGCAAAATTTTAACTCAATCCAATGAGAAAATTGCTATAGATCTTAAATACCATCATTAGACCTCTAAACTCCAATTCTACAGACCCTAGTACATTTAAATTTTAATAACCTTTCATTGAAAAATTCAACCAAGGTTAAACTTACAACAAAGATTTAACACAACACTAGTCACACAATCAAAAAAATTCACTTGTAGATCATTTATAAATCTCACACAATTTTCTAAAGTATAAAATTTATATATTTCTCAAAATCTCAAGTAACTCCAAAAAAACCCTAACCTTGCAAAGCCTTTACAAAATCATTACAAACTCAATTCACTAAAAATAAATATCCAAAGAACCTTTCTTTTGTTTGCTATCAAACTTTGTTCTTTGATTAACCAAAAAACCCCAAAATTGCCATAAATGCATGGTTTTGAGCCTCAGGATTTGATTTCAACCTTGGTTCATAATTGATCCTTTTTAGATATTAATTCTTGATTTCTTAAGATAATTTTTGCTAAAATAAATTTTAAACTTCTTCCTAAAGATATCTATATTAACTATTTTTCTTATCTACTTTGATTTGCCTTATTTATGGCCCTTCAAAGTAAGTAGAAGTCATTTTTACAAAAAGACAGCATTAACACTTATTAAATTTTACTTCTTCCTTGTCTATTATCTATGTTTTTAAGATAATTTTCTACAATATTTAAGCACTTCTATAATATCATCTTTCTTTTAATCTTTGACCTAATGACCATGTTACAATAGGACACCTTAAAAAGATTTGGGCAATTTTAACAAAGATTTTACATGTCTACTTTTGCTCACACTCACTTGTCTACAAAAATTAGAAATTAGACCCAAGGAGATCAAAAACCAAGGGAGCCTTAGCAAGAGTTGGAGGGAGATCTTTAGTGAAAGGCCTAAGAGAAAAAATTAAACACTGAGAGGATGGTCAAAACATAAATATAACATAAATAGTCTATTGTGTAAGTGGTTGGAATCAATTCCAAAACTAGCCTAACAAAATTTGTTACCATAGACACAAAACTTCGGAGTAATTTACATTGAATTCTAGTCTCACATTATTTATATTAATCTAGGTTCTGTCCACTCTGGTGCCCAGCATGTTGTCCATGGACAGTGTGGGTTACACAGAACCAAGACTGGTACAGGGCAGATGGATGAAATTCTGTGGTAAAAGTCCTACTCTATGAGATGTTCTAAGGAACCGTCAAGACAAACGGGCACACCAAAAAACATCTAGACCTGCCCGAATGGAGGAGATAAATGAATAAAACATCAACATACATTCATGCAAAGGTTCATTCAGAAGGGGTCCTAATTACGGGGAAGTGGTAACCGATCCCACAGTTTCGGAGAAGTAGAATTTGAGAGCCGCAGACATTGTGCCGTGCGCAAGATAACGATTTGGGTGATGGAGCACGGGACCCAAAAATATCCGAAACACTCCACAATACTCGCAGCAGAAGCAGCAGCGTTGCAGAGTGCTCAGCAACAAAGAGTGGGGGAGCTGCTTGCGCTTGCAACATGCGAGGGGAGTGAGTGTTAGGTGTGGAGCTGGAGGATGATGACGACGCAGCAGGATGAACGCCGCGTGAAGATGCAAAGATGCAAGAACTACGTTGCTGCTTGGATGCTTCCGCTGTTTACCCTTTTGGTGATTCCAGGGTAGGAATTGCTGAAGAAGCCCGCTCACTTGGGTAGCTGGTTCACTGATGCACAAGGCGTGGTAGGCAGCGCCGTGAACCGGATTTCTCGAAGTATCTTAACTTGGTTTAAGAAAAATAGTCTACAATGTCCTAAAAGTCTAAATTTGACACTTTGGAATGGCTGTTTGTTTTGGTTTTGGTTTTTTATTTTGACTCGTTTCTGTTAGTAAAGAGGGGTTTCCGTGAGATTTCTGAAATACAATTAGATGGCAATAAAGGATTGGTAGCTGGGGATGTGCATTACGGGGAGCTGAGCTTTTACTCTCTACTTGCCACCTCCGTGCCGGCAAGGATTTTTATTGTTTATTGTTTTTGATACTCTCGCTGGAAGGTGTTGCTTGTTCTTCGAAGGATTGGCCGTGCAGTGAGGCTCCTTCGTGGGAGTTTTTAATTTTTAGCATCGTCGTGGTCGTGGTCGTCGTTGTCGTTGCTGTGCTGTTTGAACCAGCTGGCTATGGAAGTTGACCTTGACGTATTCGTAGCTGTGGGATTGGTTGTTCTAGCGGCCTCAAATAGCATTTGTGCTTCGCAAACCCTTTGGAGTTCGTGAGTGTGGCGCAGTCCAGTGCTGGGTCAATTGCTTCAGTTTCTCTCGGTGAGGGTTAGTAGTAGTTTTTGGAAAGTGCCGAATACGTTTATGCTGATTAGGTGGTACTGTTCTTTGATGACTCTAGCTTGCGCAATTGGGTCAAAGGGTTCACCTCCAGGCTGAAGCGCTTGCCAACTACGTGAGTCCAGCTCTTTGCTCTAGTTACTCCTCCTTCGTCCTCTTCTTAACCCTGCTGTGTGCACTGGCGTTGTCGCTATGGCACAGCGTAGACAGCGATGCTGCGGTGATACACGAGTTGAATTTATAGTCGTTGAACGTCTTTTTGCCTGCTTCTTGTCTTAATGTGGTCTGTAAAATATTTCGGTTAGTGGCCTAATTGTTAGTTGAGTTTGTTATATAATTGCTTCAGCGGTGAGGGTTGCCAATTAAACTCTTTTGGTTAGTGTTTTGTATGGCTCTGACATGTGCGTTGAAAACTTCAGGGCACTGGAGTTGGTTTTGTTGCTGGAGAGGAAATATCCGCCAGTGGGGCTTCGAAAATTGAAGAGATGGGGAATATCAGCGGACGCCCAAGAAAGAATCGTGGACATGGGACGAAGGGAATGAATCTGGGCAGGCCTACAGATCCTCGGCAGAAGAATGAGAGCGAAAGACCAATGTACGAAGGCAGCACTCAGCGCTCAAGCGCGGTTGCCAGCAGTTATGGCGGAGGTACCCAGCACAAACAGGATGGCAGCACTCGTCCAGCGACCACGGGGAGCACACACGCGGAGGGTGGCCATGCAGCAAGACCTAGCTCTGGTGCCACACCCTCCGAGCGTCCTCCTGGTCCGATGTCGGCCCCTATGCCTAGGCCCCGGCCGACGTCCTATTCGGCGAACGGCGTTTTGGGGAAGCCGCTGGTGGACATTCGCCAGACGTATTCGCTTGGTCGGGAGCTCGGCCGAGGCCAGTTTGGAGTGACCTACTTGTGCACTCACAAAACAACGGGTGAAATTCTCGCCTGCAAGAGTATAGCCAAGCGGAAGCTGACTACCAAAGAAGATGTCGAGGATGTTAAGCGGGAAGTCCAGATAATGCACCATTTGTCGGGAACTCCCAACATCGTGGATTTGAAGGGAGTGTATGAGGACAGGCATTCCGTGCATCTTGTCATGGAGCTCTGTGCGGGTGGAGAGCTTTTCGATCGCATTATAGCCAAGGGGCATTACAGCGAGCGAGCCGCCGCTGATTTGTGCAGGGTCATTGTGAATGTGGTACACAGATGCCACACTCTAGGCGTGTTTCACAGGGATCTGAAGCCTGAGAATTTTCTGTTGTCCAGCGAAGCTGAGGATGCGCAGCTGAAAGCAACGGACTTTGGTCTTTCGACTTTCTTCAAGCCCGGTGAGGTCTTCCATGATATTGTCGGAAGTGCGTACTATGTCGCTCCAGAGGTCTTGAGGCGGAATTACGGGCCTGAAGCTGATGTGTGGAGCGCCGGCGTGATTGTGTACATTCTTTTGTGCGGAGTTCCACCATTCTGGGCTGAAACAGAGCAAGGAATTTTTGACGCTGTGCTAAGAGGCCACATTGATTTTGTAAGCGATCCGTGGCCGAAAATCTCTAGCGGGGCCAAGGACCTTGTGAGGAAGATGTTGAATATGAATGTGAAGGAGCGGCTGACAGCATACCAGGTGTTGAACCATCCATGGATGGAGGAAGGAGGTGACGCCTCTGACACGCCACTTGACAATGCGGTGCTGACCAGACTGAAGAACTTCTCCACCGCCAACAAGATGAAGAAGCTTGCGCTGAAGGTTATTGCAAAGAATCTGTCAGAAGAAGAGATCGTAGGGTTGCGGGAGCTCTTCAAGTCAATGGATACCGACAACAGCGGTATGGTGACATTTGAGGAACTCAAAGACGGTTTACTCAGACAAGGCTCGAAACTCAGAGAGTCCGACATACGCGAGCTGATGGAAGCAGCCGACGTAGATGGGAATGGGAAGATAGACTTCAACGAGTTCATATCTGCCACAATGCACATGAACAAGTTGGAAATGGAGGATCATCTCTTTGCAGCATTCAGTCATTTTGATACGGACGGCAGCGGATATATTACCATTGACGAGCTGCAGGAAGCAATGGAGAAGAATGGAATGGGAGATCCGCAAACAATTCAAGAGATTATCAATGAGGTGGACACAGACCGCGACGGGAGAATAGACTACGACGAGTTTGTTGCTATGATGCGGAAAGGCAATCCTATTACAGAAGACGGCGGTAAGCACAGACACAGGTAGTTGAGCTCCACGTTCATCTGACCCTTAGCCCAGCGGCAGATTGAGTTTTTGTGCATAGGTACTCTTCTTTCAATTGCAGGTAATGGGCGATTGGGCTCCTGACCAGAGCTTCTTTTGAATCCTTGCATTAGGCTGTTTCACTCTGCTGCGGTTCTCAGGCAGATAAGTTCACATATACACATGCTCGCACATTAGTAGACTCTTGGTGCTTTTAGGCTGCCGCTTCATGGGGAGAAGGTCGTGTCTGCAGCAAATTATTACAGTATTCACAAGTCTTGTGCATTAAATGGTCTTAGGAGAACTGAATGGTCTTCTCGGTAGAGTTTGGTTGGCGTATATATGTAGATGGCTGGGGTGGGAATGGCCGTAAAGGGAGAGAGTCTGCCTGACTGTGAGTAGGTTGTGAAGGTTTTCTTTCACGGCTCTTTATGAATCAACTTTAGATTATCCATGTTCAAAGAGAGGAGCAATGACATTGATGTAATTTTGTAGTCAAGAACATAAAATGCGATCATTACTATAGGACTATCAACTCATGATGAGTCTCTTAATTGTTAGAGCTTGCAATGCAGTCGAGAGCCATTATGCTTTGTTAGACCTCTAAGCCGGCCACAGTTTCTCCCCCCCTGTCCATGTAATCTATGGGTGCTAGTTATTATCAGTTTATTCTCTTCGTGTAAGCTACTTCAAAAAGTGAAGATGATCATGATATAGTCTTTTTGCTCTATCTAATAGTGGCAATGTAAGCTACTTCAAAACGTAAAGATGATGATATAGTCTTTTTGTTCTATCTAATCATGGCAATCTAACATCGAACAAGAGCTTGAAATCAAATATTGTTGATTATTTAGTGTTGCACAGAATCTGACTCTCTTGTAGAGTTTTAATTGTTCAAATCTTTGTATGGCATAATTATTAAAGTAAATGGAGGATAAGTTAGAAGGTAAAAGATGTTATTTAAGATAAATTGTTAATGGTCAAAGACTAGCAAAAAGATGAAAGAAAGTTTATTAAGGTGGCGATTAGGGTTTAAAGTGGTAGCTAAGTTTACATACTTGTTAAAAGCTTCAAAAGTTGATTTGGGAGTGTTGGGAGTGAAGAAACATTCATTTGTTCACAAGAAGGCATTATGAGATTTTGCTAGTGTAAAATTATTTTGGTGATTTTAAGCACATAGAGACTCTTTTTCTTAATATTTTTTAATAGACCTCTTCTAAGAAATGGTTTGAAGTGAGGGTGAAGGTTTGAAAGTGATTGAGAAATTTAGAGGTGACAATTTCTACCATTGGAAGGTCAAAATGGAGCTTTTGTCGGCGTCTTTGGACCTTTGGGACATTGTAGATGAAAGTGAAGAGCCTCCAAGCATGCATGTTAATGTTAAAGAGAGGAAGAACTTTACAAGACGTGAAAAGAAGGCTTTTGGCATGATTGCCACCAATTTGGATGAAGTCAACGTTTCTCACATTATTTCTTGCAAAGGACTAGTAGAAGCATGGAAGAGTCTTTGCAACATATATGAGAACAAGAACTTATTCAATACCATCTTCACAAGGAAGAAATTCTTCACTTACAAGATGGAAGAAGGTGAAGACCTCATAGCTCATGTCAATAAGATAAAGGTCCTTGCTAATCAACTTGCAATTGTTAACAAGTCTTTAGAAGAGAGTGATATTGTCATGACCTTGCTTATGAGCTTTCTCAAGTCCTACAACTACCTCATTGTAGCATTAGAGTCTATCAAGCTAAAAGAACTCACAATGGATTATGTGATAGCAAGACTTGTCCATAAAGTAACCAAGAAGAAAGAAAAAGAGCCCCGAAGTGAAGGTTCGGCTCTCTTTTCAAGAAAAGTCAAGGAAAGTTATTCTAACCAACGTGGTAATGTAAGAACTTGTTTCATTTGTGAAAAATCACGTCACTTTACTCGAAATTGCTATAAGCCTAAGAAAGAACATAGAGAAAGTGCAAACAATGCTCGTGATGAATATGGAGGTGATGATTATGCATTCATGGCAAGTGAAGGAACTTCCACGGCTGCCCTCTTTAAATGGATCCATTTAAAGAAGGCATATAAGATACAATGCTATGACACTTGCTTATGAAGGTTGCATTCAAGGTAAACAACAAAAGGCCTCATTTCCAAGTAGAGTTGCAACACGTGCAACCAAGTTATTGGAGATCATCCATTCTGATGTTTGTGGACCTATGAGGATGCCATCAATAGGAGGTGCAAGGTATTTTGTCACATTCATTGATGATTTTTCAAAGAAGGTATGGATTTTCATCCTCAAAGCAAAGAATGAGTGTTTCACAAGGTTTAAGGAGTTTAAGGCACTTGTGGAGAAGCAATGTGAATGCAAAATCAAGGTATTCCATATAGAGAATAGAGGTGAGTATATATTAAAGCAATTCAATGATTTTTTGAAGATGCATAGTATTGCAAGACAAACCTCCACTCCTTGAACTCCACAACAAAATGGAGTTGCTAAAAGAACAAATTGGACCATTGTGGAGATGACAAGGAGTATGCTTCATGCAAAAACAACTTGGACATGAGTTTTGGGCGGAAGCAGTGGTGAATGCAGTATACATAAGAAATAGGTGTCCTACAAGTGTATTTACATCAATAATGCTGGAAGAAGCTTGGAGTGGGAGAAAACCTTGTATTTTTCATATGAGGACCTTTGGATGCATAATATATGCAAAGATACCAAATTCTATGACATCAAAATTTGATGCAAAAGATACAAAATGTATTTTTGTGGGATATTTTGAAGGTACAAAGGCTTATAGGCTCATGTGTTTGGAGACTAAAAAGATCATCAAAATTCATGATGTTGAATTTTTGGAGCACAAGAGTCCTTGTGAGCACTTAGAGATGTATCCAAGTAGGAGTAATGGTGTGTTTGTGGACACATCTTCAAATTCAGCAAAGAAGAAAGAAGACAAAGATAATGATGGTTATAAAGGTAGAAATGAAGATGAAGAGGCAAAGAAGGTAGACAAGAAGGCCTCTATAATTGCTAAGACTAGCAATGAAGATGTTGGTGATGATGGTGATGAGGATTATGAACCTTTGAGTGAGAAAAGACTATCTTCAAAAGAAAAGAAGGTTGGAGGTGATGATGGAGTGCAACAAGTTGAATCTTCTTCAAATGAAAGGAGATATCCTCTGAGAGATAGAAAATAACGTGGTGAATGGTAGAAGGACCATATTTTTCCTCAAGTAAGTAAAGAACATGCCAATGTTGCACTTCTTGCTGATCCGTTGAGTTTATGTGATGCAATGAAGTCCACAGATGCTATGGAAGAAGAATACAAATCACTCATGGATAATGGAATATGGAAATTGACTCAACTTTCACCAAATCGAGTTTCAATTGGTTGTAAGTGGGTGTTTAGAACAAAGAGAGATGTAATGGGCAATGTTGTGAGGTATAAGATAAGATTGGAAGCCAAAAGCTACTAACAAGTTGATGGTGTTGATTTCAATGAGACATTTGCTCCCGTGGCCAAATTCACCACCATTAAAAACATTGTGGCAATTGGGGCAGTAATGGACTTGGAAATGCATCAAATGGATGTGAAGATGGCTTTCTTGAATGGAAAATTGAAAGAAGACATCTACATGGATTAAGTTCAAGGATTTGTTGAAGAAGGCAAACAATACCTTGTGTAAATTGAAGAAATCCTTGTATGGGCTCAAGCAATCATCGAGGGCATGGTACCAATGTATCAACACGTTTTTTATGAATGAGGGATTTGTAAGGAGTGAGGTTGATCATTCCATGTATGTGATGCAATTAAAAACCTTCCTGTTGATTGTTATTCTTTATATTGATGATTTCATCATCTTGACCAATACTTTGAAAAAGATGGATTAATTGAAGGCAAAGCTAGCAAAAGAATTTGAAATGAGTGATTTGAAAGAGCTCCACTATTGCTTAGGAGTGGAGTTTGTGAGAGATCGAGCTAAAAAAAATCATTATATTGAGACAAAAGAAGTATATTGAAGAAATATTGAAACGGTTCAATATAGAGGAGTGCAAGTCCATTGGAACACCTTTGGAGGTAAATTTTAAGTTGATGAAGCTCACGGATGAAGAATTTACTGAAATTGAAAAAGAAAAGAAAGATGTTCTATACAAGGCAGCAGTAGGCTCACTTATGTATGTAATGGTTGGTATAAGGGTGGATCTTCTATATGCGGTGAGTGTTGTGAGTCAACACATGTCAAAGATTGGACCAATTCATTGGACAACCGTTAAGAGGATCTTGAGGTACTTAAAAGGTACTTTGAATTTCAAATTATGCCTTGGAAGTGATAGTATTACATTGCATGGATATTGTGATGCGCATTGGATTAGAGATGCAAATAATAGAAGATCAACAACAGGATATATATTCTTTGTTGGAGTGGGAGTAATTTCTTGGAATTGTAAGAGACAATCAATAATTGCAAGGTCTACAATGGAGGCGAAATACATGGCAATAAGTCATGGTGCAATGGAAGCAATATGGCTAACACAAGTTTTTGAAGACATTGGTCTTGTGTAATTGGAAGCAACTCCAATGAAGTGTGACAATCAAAGATGCCTAGTTTTTGCCAAGAATCCAAAGCATCATTCAAAGACAAAACACATTGATATTCATCATCACTTCATACGGGAGAAGATTGAGATGAAAGTGATTGACATGAAATATTGTACAATAAAAGACATGCTTGTTGATTTGCTCACAAAAGCAAATGTGAAGGATAGACATTACAAATTGATAAAGGAATTAGGTTTACTAGCCTTTGGTCAATAGCAAAGTGGGAGTATTAAAATAAATGAAAGATAAATTAGAAGGTAAAAGATATTATCTTAGATAAGTTACTAATGGTCAAAGGGCAACAAAAAGATAAAGGAAAGTTATCAAGGTGGCAACTAGGATTATAGGTGGCGGCTAGGTTAAGAAGAATATATGGTTTAATGAATGAAAGTAAGTTGAATACTAGCCAAAATGGATGTAAAGTCTACCTATTAGTAAAAGGTGTTAGAAGTGAGAGGTATCTCATTCTTCACTTCTCTTGTATCTAACTTTGTTGTTTTTTACTTATTTGTGTCTTGCTTGTTGTATTTCTTCAATAATAATAAAAGAAAGAATCATATAATTGGTTACTTTTAAAATAAAAAAAAAAAGTACATATGGAAGAGTAATTAGCAATCACAAAGACATCAAAAGTATCATACTGTCAAGGACAAGAACTCGATGAAAAAACAATTCAGACAAGTGAGCCTTCACTCAAAGAGAGGTAACAAAATATACATAAACAAGTATATATATTGAAAGAGAAACTGGAATGGCTATTGCCAAAAGACAAGAAAACTAGAGATCCTTGAAACTAGACTAGAAGCAAGAAAGGAGTTGACAAGAGTGAAGAAGCCTTCACTCTTGTCTCTATATATACTCTCTAACTAGGGGCTACGTGGCGACGTTCTATAGGACCTCCAATATGTGTTGACTTTGTACGGCACATGCCTTGACTTACAAGGCAAGTTTTTCTACGTGTGGGCCACATAGTTAGCTTGATCTTCAAGCTAAGAACTTGTGTGGCACATGGCCAACTTGTTGACCACGTTTCTAATCCAAAAAGTCAATTAAAGACACCTATGAAGTCAAAGCAACATCTAGGAAGTTTCTAAGAAGCTTCCATATTAAATATTATAGAATTAACTTACTTTTATCTACTTTTATTTACTTCTATCTATTTCTATATGTAATTATTAGCTTATATGATTATGGCCG